GCCTCTGTTACAACAACGGATGAGCTCGCTCGTGAGATTGAGTCATCAATGCAGTCTTCCCAACAAGGCAATACTCATGATCATTTGATTGATCCTTTCGGTTTGACACCCTTTCACGTTCTACTGTTGGCTGCGAATTGCAGGCTTGATCTTTTGAAAGTTCTACTAGATGCCTATCCATCAAATGTACTTGGATGGAAAGACGTGAATGGAAAGACTGCCATTGAATACTATTGTCAACGGAGTCATTATCTGGCAGAAGACTCACGAAACTTGCTTCGAATAACTCTTCAGGGATGGTTGGTGGGGTCTTTATCGAGTTGGAATGGATTGGAAGCGTGGAAATCCGAAATGTCGAGTAGGGTGAACGCGGTTGTTACTCAGAACGAAGTGGGACAAAGACTATCCTTGCTTCAAGAAGCATCGATGGCTCTGACAGGGTACGAGAGGATAGAGGCAACAATCTTGTTAGAGTTGTCTTTGTGTAAAAGGGAGATGAAGGCTGGAAATTCATCAGCACATGATACATCAAGAACGAGATAGAAAGATGACCGAGAAGCATACCGTATTCGAAGTGGTTCTTCAGTTATCAATCCAAACGTGATTGCATTCTTTCTTGATTTTAATTTGCTTCGACGATAGTTTGATGAATAGCACATGTAGATCAAGTTTTATCACGCGAAGCAAAAAAGTGGTGCTAGATGATAGGAAAAGTCTTGTATGATTGCTTTTTAGATACAAAGGATGCCGTCCTAGTGCTGGTAATTCTTCTTGGATTGTAGTAGTATCTGGTTTATTTCTATTTAAACTCTATGCCATTTGTTTTTGGTGCACAGGTGCTGCTCCAATATTTTGCTGATGATGAATCAACATTTCAACCCATACGGAATTGATGTCGAGTTGTCGATTACTAGATGATTCTTGAATCATCATGACTGGACGATGATTTCTGTTTGTGCTGGGGTCAAGTTCGCCAGATGCTGTACTGGCTGTCGCGTGTTCACTCAAATCGTCCGTCAAAATGTACAAGACGTCTTCCAACTGTCTCTTGAATTGTACTTTCGGAAGCGACTTCTTTTTGTTGCTATTGGTTTTGGTTTGCGCTGCTTTGACTGTATTGATGTGTTCTGCTGTTTGATGATGGTGATGTTGGTGCCGCTGCGAGGACGAATCGTCCAATGGTGATGGAAACTTGTTGGTCGACTCGTATTGGGCCATGAACTGAGCTGCTCCATAAATGTCGTCATCCTCACTAACAATGCTTTCAGGAAGGACGGTATGATCGGTAGCATCATCCGTATCAAGTGGTTCGTTCTTGCCGATCCCCATGTCATACGAATATGCAACATTATCGGCGAAGAATCTCGTTGATGTAGTCCTCATTCCTTCTGGTCCTTCAGGAGTATTCTTGAATCTTCTGTCAATTATGCTTGGCGAGGCCGTAAATGCAGTTGATACTGAGAGAAGGGATGAAACGGCGATTGTTCTTGTAATGAAAGTCATTGTGAAGTAGGTAGGTAGATAGATAGCTATACGATGATGGGGTGTATTGATCGGCAGTATGTTTGGGTGCTGATGATGAATCTTCCCAATCGCGTGGTATGATTTTTCGTTCCGAGTTTTGCAGTTTTGTGCTCTGATTGGTGGCTTTGGTTTCGGTTGTGTCGATAATGTTCTTGGATGATCATCGAACGGCATACCGGTACACGTGTACCGGTAGCATGACGATCCCAAATTCTGCTTGTGCAGAATTCCTACCCCGGATTGTAGTCGATTGAGTCCAAACTTCCAGCATCACCATCACCATCAGCATCAGCCGCGAAGTGTAACGGTACACGTACAGACTCAATTAACTTTGAGATATCTGTCGAGATGGAGAAATGAGGAGGCGGGCACATAACCTCACAGCATTGGTCCATTTTGAATTTTTGAAAATATTACCATTAGGTATCGTCAACAACCACAACGACGACTCAAGTGCGTGGCACAAACAAAACGTTGATGGTGGCCGTCACGAATGAAAGTTTGGAAAAGAAATACGAGAGTGATGCAAGGTTGAGTGCTAATAATAACAATACTAGCAATAGTAGCAAATGCAGAGATCTCGCTTGCTTTGCACTATTTCTAGCGGCACTGCTGTCCTCCAATTTCTTTAGCGTCCAACACTTTCATGGGTTTGATCGTTCTACAACCGAAACGGAAGCTTTGACAGCAGTGAGAAATGGTATTAACCCGAGCCAACAAAACACTGTATTGGATACAGCAACGGAAGACGCTAGTTCTGAGGAACTAAAGCCATATTGTTTGAAAGCCCCATTCTATGGCGGTACGAGCAACAATGTCATTGAGGTTGGGAAATTGTTAAGAATTCTGAATGACGAAGGGAAACACCGAAAGCTTGGATTGGACAAACACTGGACGCAATGGTACAAATCACATTTTGATGAGCGACCGGATGTCCTCTTTGATTACTATCCCGATGGAGGAGACTGTGAACAAGCCTACATTGCACAAGACGCATTCTTTTTGGGTGACAACGACTGGGACTTGTCCTATATTCGTCATCTTACACCAAGTTCGGAACACCGTGACACAGCCGAAGCGATCATAAAAAGCTGGCCTCATGGCAGAAACTATATATCGGTACATCGTCGAGATCTAGAGGGAACTTGTCATATATCGGCAAGGTGTCCGCTCAATCGAAAAGAGCGAAAGGGAACAGGACGTAAATGTGTAGAGCAGAGGGACCCCAATGAAGCCTGCTCTGTGGAACTACGCCTTCAAGCTTGTGACATGGAGTACAGCATGGTTGACAATCCCAAGAACTTGCCTGTCATTTTGTTCACTGACCGACAGGTGCCTGATAAAGACTCAACCTTTCCACAAATATTCAACGAAACAGCCCCAATGTTTGTGGAGATGTGGCTAATGGCCCAGTCGCAGACACATTGGGGAAACCCGAGATCTTCAGTGGATGCTGTTGTGTCTAGCTGGCGAAACGGGATGGGATTGGAGCCAAAGCCATGTTACGGACCTGATAAAATACTCTTTCAGATGTGATGTGAAATAGAATGTTATTTTACAATTCATTCTCCAAACTACAGTGAACTGTTATGAGTGGGGTGACATGGCCGAGTGCAGTTCATGATTCGTGTTTTTGATTGTGAAATCATGGTGTCGCTTCTCTTATACATATTATTAGTAGCCGGCAGCCAACAGGATCGATCGAAACAAGATCTTATGAAAGTTCAATCCATCATTTCAAAGACTGTAAAATAATAGGCTAGAGTACAGATTGGGCAATATTGCAATGTGCATTGCCTCTAGTAGGTGGTCGGACCATTTGGTACTCGTACTTCCGGGTCTTCGTTTTTATTAAAAATAGTGATCGTTAGAATCAAATTTTGGAAACTTAACGCCGCTGTTCTGAATTCCGTTTCGTTTCACATTCACAGAGAACGTTGTCAGAAGGGCGTTGCCATCCCGGAAATTAAGGAACCAAGGAACAGAGATACGGTATTCTATGTATATATAAGAGCTAATAATATCACCGGTACTCATTTGAGTACAAGAAAGTTTACTAAGAAAGGAAGCCAGTCCCCACCATCCAAGCGAAGAAGGGCACGGCATCATCGATCAAGACACCATCGTATGATATGAATACTTCATAGCAGCATGCGATATGCTGCACGATCATCTAAAGATTTGGGGTCATATTGCAATGTGTAATGCCGAAATTATAGAATAGACCTCGCTTGGTGTTGTATCTGGTATAATGTGGCAACATCTGTTACTTCCGGGTTCCTTAAATTTAAAAAGAACAGCAGTCGTTTGAATCAAACTCTCCAACAAACGCAAACGCTGCTATCGTCATCCACCCAGAATAAGTTGTCAGAAGAGCGTTGCAAGTATCTGCCACCTCGAAACAGAGATACATTATATAAAAAAGCTGAAGCAAAAAGCATTTTAGCAACAGGTTGACAAAGGGCATTGCTTCAGCATCCCCAAGCGCAAATACCTTCAATACGAGAAAGGAACTTCAGCAGACAGCCTTCCTTGCTCATCAAGTGTCGACCAATTGATTCAACATGAGTCATCTTTCGAATGGAGAAAAGGGTATGGGCGATAACGAGGCTCAAACGATCCCCGTGGCGTTTGCAACAGCATCGCCTGAAGAAGTCTCTCCGGCACCACAAGCTATTGCGCCACAAATGGTTCAGGCAGTCACTATTCAGAATCCTGGTGTGATTCAGCAGACGATGGCAGCAGCACCCCAACAACAACAGCTACAGCAGCAACAGCAGCAACAGCAGCAACAACAAGTGATTCTGCAAAGTCAACAGGCGCCCTTGCAACAAATACCAGAATCATTACGATCGGAAGTACAAAGTGGAGTAATCCACCCTTCCGCAGTTCAGGCGGCTCCTATCAATAGCACAGGCCTTGTAGTTCCGCAGCAACAGGTCATTCCTGTAATTCATCAACAGCCACAAACGTTTTTGCAACAAGTTCAAGAGCCAGTGCAAACTGAATCACCAGTTCCGGTTGTCCACCCCTCCAGAGTGAGTCCGGTAACTATTGAGAATTCTGGTACTGTTCAGCAGACAGCACTACAGCAACAAGAACAAGGTATTCCGGCAAGTCCACAACCGTCTCTGCAGCAAATGCAAGTAACATTACCAGCTGAAGCATCAACTGCAGTTATCCAGCCCTCCACGGTCCATCTGGTTGCTATTGATAATGCTGGTATTATTCAGCAGGCATCACCCCAGCAGCAGCAAGTTGTTTTGCAAATTCAGCATCCGCCTTTGCAGCAACCGCTTTTGCAGCAAGTACAAGAACCATTGCCATCTGAAGCACCAGGTGGAGTTATCCACCAGTCTGCAGTCCAAGCGGTGGCTATTAATAACCCTGGAACTGTTCAGCAGATAGCAGCACCCCAAGAACAGCAAGGTATTTCGCAGAGTCAACAGCCGGCTGTGCTACAACCGCCTTTGCAACAAGTACAAGAACCATTGCCATCTGCAACACCAGTCCTCCGACCATCCAGAGTCCGTGCAGCTACTATTGATTACTCTGATATTATTCAGCAGACAGCGCACCAACAACAAGAACCGCCTTTGCAACAAGGGCAAGAGCAATTGTCAGTTCAATCATCAGGTGCAGTTCTCCACCCTACCACAGTCCAGGACGTAACAATGGCTGATTCGGTTATTGTTCAGCAACCAGCAACTCAACAACAATACGGTATTGCGGTGACTCAACCGCAGGCACTGCAACAAGGACAAGAACACATGCTACACCAAGCATCAGATGCAGTTCTCCAGCACCCCTCCACAGCCCAGGCTGTCACAAGTGTCGACTCGGCTAGTGTTCAGCAACAACAACAACAATATGGTATTCAAGCAAGTCAACAGACAGATTCTGATTCGGACCAAGGACAAGAACCACCAGGCGCGGTTCTTCATCCATCCACGGGCGATTTGCTTTCAATGAATGAAATGGCTATGATTGAACAGACAGCAGCCCAACAACAACAACTACTACATCATGGTATTCCATCAAGTCAGCAGCCGGATTCGGAACAAGGACAAGAACCACCAGGTGCGGTCCTCCACCCCTTCACAGGAGATTTGGTTGCTACCGATAATTCCGCTATTATTCAGCAGACAGCACCCCATCAGCACCAAGATAGTACGCCAAGTCATCCTCAGCCGCTATTGCCACCAGGACAATTGGCACCTCAAGTACCCACTGCACGTGCGGTTACGATTGATAACTCTGACATTTTTCAGCAGATAGCAGCCCAACAACAGCAGCAGCAGCAGCAACAACAACAACAAGGTATTCCGCAAAGTCACCAGCCGCCTTTGCCACCGCGAGCACCCCCTGTCCGTGCGGCTACTGTTGATAACTCAGTTATTATTCAGGAGGCAGTAGCCCAACAGCAACAAGGCATCCCACCAAGTCACCAGCCGCCTTTGCAGCGAGGACAAGAAACATTGCCATCTGGATCACAGGCTGCAGTAATCCACCACTCCGCAGCTCATGCGGTTAGTATGAAAGAATCGGATATTCTTCGGCAACCAGAACCACCACAACCACAATGCATTCCGCGAAGCCAGCAGCCGCCTTTGCCAATGCGAGCATCAGGTGCAGTTCGCCGTCCGAGACATGCCCGTGGGGTTACTATTGATAACTCGGCCTTTTTTCAGCAGATGGCAATCGAACAACAAAGAAGTCAACAGCAGCCTTTGCACCCAAGCCAATTGTCAGCGCAAGCATTCACTGTGCGTGCTGCTACTATTGATAACTCTGATATCATTCAACTGGCAGCCCAATACCAACAAGGCATCCCGCAACGTCAACAAGAACCTTCTGTGCAACAAGGACATGAACCAGAGCCATTTTCTTCTGCATCATCAGATGCAAATCTCCACCACTCCGCAGCACAGGCGGTAAGTATTGATGAACCGGATTTTATCCAACGAGCGGAACCACAGCAACACGGCATTTTGGCAAGTCAACAGCTACCGATTCAACAAGGACAAGAGCCATTGCCATCTGGATCACCAGATGTCGTTATCCAACCCTCCACAGTTCATGTGGTTACTTTTGATGAACAGCCTACGGCTGGTGATGTCACGAATGGGCTGCTCCTGCAGCAAGACACAATAGGCCAGGAGTCCACACCATTACTTCACCAGAGTACTAGCAGTATTGGACCTCATAGTGAAAGGACGACAAGCGATATCCCTTTTGGAGATGAAAATGACGACCACTATGACGAGTCCAAAGATGGCGGTGCCCAATGTTATAATCTGCCTTGGGCCATCCTCTTCTGGGCACATATCGCCGCAGTTGTATATGCTGGTACGCAGCTTGCTCCCCAAGGATATGCCATGATTGAGAACGATGATTTTGATTTGGAGCAGCTCCACGACTTTATGCAGCGAAATTTTGTCAACGATGACGACTTTACCGAGCAAGACTTGGACAAGTTGACCGACTTCTTGCATGAATTCCAAAAATGGTGGGCCATATACCCCCCACGCATCTTATGCTTTGCAGTACTGATGGTTTCGGTGTCTTTCTGCCTGAACTTATTCAAGAATCACTTTATTATCCGGAAGAAAGCTCTCTTGTTTGTGACTTCAAGCGTGGTCGTGCCAGGTGTCCTGTTTGGTATCATTCTGGTGCTCAATTTATCGAATTTGGGACTATTTGGCTTTCTTTTCTGTGCAGTCGTAGCAGTGGCCGTTGCACTCTATGTTCGCAAAAGGCTTTGGCCAAAGCTAGATTTTGCTGCGTTGAACCTGGAAATTGCTCTCGCTGGAATTGGAGGCAACCTTGGAACTTACTTGTGGGTACAAACTTGTGCTGAAGTCACAATGTTGTGGATCATATTTTGGTTCTATACCTTCTTTGGAATGATTCCATATGTGACAGCAACAAGATGCCCTGAGATGGCACAGCATTTTGACCCGAACAGCAACGAACAATGCGTTCCAACGGGAAGAGTATTGTTGGGACTCTTGTTCTCGCTCTACTGGACATTGTCCTACGTTGGCGTAAGTAGACTGTGTTTCATATCAATCTGTCATCCCACCGGACAAGCTCACATTGTTGTCTTACTATCTGATAGAATACCGTTCAAGTCTATGTTTCGGGAGTAATGGCAACGTGGTGTTACGATAAGAATGCTGCCCAAGGATTCTGCTCTAGTGCTGTGACAAGTTCTATGTACCGAAGCCTGACTTTCTCGTCTGGACCAATCGCATTCGGCAGCTTGTTCCAAGGTGTCTCCAAGGTGCTTCGATCAATACTCAGTCATTCAAACCAAAATCAACATCGAAGCAACCAAGTTGTTTATGACGCCGGTGACGATTGCCGATGCTGCTGCTTTGGCATTTGTGGCCTCGTCCTGGAGTGTCTCTCTGAGATATTTGGAGAAGTCTTGGATTATTTCAATCAATGGGCCTACTGCTTCGTTGGAATCAACGGCACCTCTTATCTTGAGAGTGGCAAGGCCGCGATGAATCTGTTCAAGACACGAGGTTGGACTGCATTGATCACTGATCGGCTAGTCGCCTTGGTGCTTCATATCGGAATTCTGGAAAGCGGCATTGTCACCGGGTTGGCAACCATTGCCATGGAACGAGCAGTGACCTTGATTGCATACCCAGCAGATCACAGTGATTTGCCTTCATCCTATGTCTTTGGACCTGCAACCAGTGTTGGATGGGCGAGCATGATGTAAGTTTCAATCGTGTCGCTGCTTGCTGTCTTGTTGGAGTCACTTCTAATGTGTTTTCTTGTTCTCTATCTTTGATCAGCTTTGGATTCATTATTGGGTGTGTCATGTCGGGAATCATGATGAATGTAATTCACGGTGCCGTCAATACCTTAATCATTTGCTGGGCAGAGTCGCCAGAAATCTTCAAGGACAATCATAAGCATTGGGCGAATGAAATGGCAGAAGTTTGGTCATTAGCCTTCCCAGGAACTCAAATCCAAGAAGAAAGGAGCAATTCACTACCAGCAAGCCCAGCCCCTGCAAGATACGGAGCAACAACGGTGACCGTCCTGCCGTAGAAGACATGTGCCGTATTGGTGAAAACTGCTTTGGTACTAGTATTATGTCACGCCTCAAAACGGGTGAACGGAGTTCCTTCATTTCGATTCCTTTACTATCCTTTCCCAAACTCCGAATATGTGTCCAACAACACTATAACAAACATATCAATATAGACATGGCATTGCTCTCATTATACACTTTCATCATCCTGTTTTCGATCGATAATATGAAGTTTCGGTTGCGGTCCTTTCATTTTGAGTCACACGAATCGAAAACAGTTGCTATATCATCGTTTTGTGTTGACCGTTTGGACATCCTTGAATCCAATAGCAGGAAGTGGTATGCCGATGGTCCTTTGGTGAACGCTTTTGTAATGATGATACCTTTGGAACAAAGACATATCGTCACCAATGTCAGCATAACGCTGCGAAGGCTGAATCTTGTGGCACCTGTCGAGAGATTGTCTCTTGTTCTTGAGTGTTCCTATATCTTTCTCTGAATCCCGCTAGACAGGATACGAAGGTTTCCTTCTCTGCTATTCTCCAACATGAGTTGTCATCCAAACGAAAAGGATATCGACAATGATGAGCCTCAAATGGTACCAGTGACATATGCAACGGTGTCTTCGGCTCATGATCCACAGGAATTCTCAGAGGCACAAACAATTGTTGTTGGCATTGAAGAAGCGTCATCTGGTCTTCTACAGCATCCACAACCCCGCCAGCACGCGCCTCTGCCGCATGGACGGCAGTCGTCACCACCCAACACGGATGCGTCAATCCATCCAGCATCCATCCAGGTTGTCACATTTGATGAACAACCCACGAATGGGGATGATGTTACAGGTGGGATGGAGCACGACGTTTCTGGACTAGGCGACAATAGTGTACGACAGGAGTCAACTCCATTGCTACATCAGAATGGAGGGGCCGTGGACTTGAATATCAACGCACTAACAACTGAGAATCATCCTTATGCAAACGATTTCTTCGATGATGATATAACGTCCGATGGACGTGCCAAATGCCATGACCTCACTTGGGCCGTTCTTTTCTGGGCACATATTGCCACAGTTGTGTATGCCGGTACTCAACTGGCTCCACAAGGATATAGTATGATGCAAAAGAATGACTTTGATCTTCAGCAGCTCCACGACTTTATGCAAGACAATTTCATCACCGACGACTTTACCGCTAAAGATTTGGACCAGCTGACCCATTTTCTATACGAACTGCAAGTTTGGTGGGGTATCTACCCTATACGTATACTGTGGTTTGGAATAGCAGTGGCAGTAGTGTCTTTTGGGCTAAATATGTTCAAGATTTACTTCATAATCAGAGCTCATACCCCATTTTTTGTTGCTGCGAGTTTGATCATTCCTGGTGGCATCTTTGGTTGTCTCCTGATACTGATGATGTCGGATCAGGGGCTCTTTGGGTTTCTATTTTGTGTGACCGTGCTTGGCTTCCTTGCACTTTACATTCGCAAGTTACTTTGGCCAAAACTACATTTTGCGGCGCTGAACCTTGAAATCGCTTTGACGGGGATTGGAAGCAATATGGGGACCTATGTGTGGACATTTGCGATGGTCGAGATCACTGTTTTGTGGATTGTGTTTTGGTGCTATACTGTCCTTGGGATGATTCAATACATCCAACGAACGCAATGTCCCGATATCAAGTTCGATCCACAAAGCGATAACAATGACACTTGCGGTCCCTCAACTGCTGTGTTGGTGGCATTACTTTTCTCGCTCTTTTGGACCCTAAAATGCGTCGGGGTGAGTTTCATATTTGTCAAGGTCCAGGCTTTCCACCGATCAAACGGGTTCAGCTCACATTCATTTCCTATGTATAGAACACGGTCCAAGTGTATGTTTCGGGAGTCATGGCTACCTGGTGCTTTGACAAAGAAACAGCACAAGGATTCTGCTCCAGCGCCGTAACGAGCTCCATGTACCGAAGCATTTCATTTTCCTCGGGTCCAATCGCATTCGGTAGCTTATTCCAAGGCGCCTGCAAAGTATTGCGGTGGATTCTTGGCCACTCGAATCGGAACCTACAAGACGCCAACGATGATTGCCGATGCTGTTGCTTTTGTATTTGCGACCTCATATTGGAATGTCTGTCAGAGCTATTCGGGGATGTGCTGGAATATTTCAATCAATGGGCCTATTGCTTTGTTGGAATCAACGGCACGTCTTATCTTGAAAGTGGCAAGGCTGCAGCGAATCTGTTCAAGCAGAGAGGTTGGACGGCATTGATAACCGATCGTCTGGTAGCACTGGTACTTGGGTTCGGAATACTTGAAGGCGGAGTTGTGACCGGACTGGTGGCTATTGCCATGGAACGACTTGTAACCTGGAGTACGTATCGAGATGACCACGCCGATCTCCCGGAATCTTATGTCCTTGGCCCCCTATGCAATGTGCCCATGGCAACTTTTCTGTAAGTTGAAGTTGCGAGCTACTGCTGGTTCTTATTGTTCGTCTTGACTCATTCTGGCCGTCATTGTCGCTTCTTCCTTGCTCTATCATCAGATTCGGCTTCGTCATTGGGTGCATCGTTTCAGGTGTCATGATGAACGTAATCCATGGTGCCGTCAATACTTTGATTATTTGTTGGGCAAAATCACCAGAAACCTTTACGGACAACCACAAGCATTGGGCAGATCGAATGACAACTGTGTGGTCATCAGCCTTCCCTGGAAGTCAAAATCGCGACGGGGGCCGTGTAACAGACCTCTCCGATTACACGACATCAGAAGAAACGAGCAGCTTTCGGGGGTATGGTGCCATTGGAACATCTATATCTTAGATCCCATTTGTTAAATTCGTACTGTAGTGTATGTAGTCGCAGTCATTTGAACCTGGCTATCTCTTCCAATAACCTGCACGTCATGAAATAGTTAAAAACGAGCGAGGATGAACTTGAAAAAAACATCATCTCTCCATCTAGTATTCCATGCAACAAGTTTGTGTTCTAAGGAAACTATTGGAATGAGCCAAGTGCTTGATCTTCACAAATAGTAAACGCCATCATCATTTTCGAATTTTCACTTCGTCTCTACATCCGGGTTTCATAGCCGGAATCTTTTGTGAATGATATGCGCCCGCATCGTATTCGTACACCGGTACCGTTGCATCGGGACCAGAGAATATACTGTAAAGATTGCGATGAATGAATGCGGTTAATCGCAATCGATGAGATACCATCCCTGTCATTCTTACATATCACACGCATAGCTTGCACACCACCATACTAGCTTGTGATGAAAAGCCTTCTGCTGCCGATACCTATTCCTTTTTTTCTGATCTGAATCCTGGAACCTTGACTTTCTGCTGGCATTTACTTTCAATACAGTATGAGTTCTCAAAAGAGTTTTGATAATGGCGAACCTCAAATGGTGCCTGTGGTATATGCAACAATTTCGTCGAACCAAGATCCGCAGGATGTCTCAGAAGCACAACCAATTCCATCTGAAATGATTCAGGTGGAAGATACTGCTGAATCTGATATTCCGTATCAAGCACAGCAGCAACAACAACAGCCGCTGCATCATGGACAAGAACCACTATCACCCAGCACTGATGAGACGGCCGGCCCTGCCACTGCTATCCAAATCGTCACCTTTGACGAACAGCCCGCAGAGGGAGATGTGACCGATAATGCGCTACGTCAACAGGAAGAGTCAACGCCATTACTGCAGCAAGAACAACAACCACATGGTCATGTTATCGCGGCCGCCAATTCCAACACGCCGATTACCAACAATCCTTATGCATCGGGTGCCTTCCACGACGAGACATCAGTGGGTGGAGGGCCCGAATGTCACAACCTCTTTTGGGCTGTTCTTTACTGGACACACATTGCGGTAGTTGTGTATGCTGGTACCCAACTTGCGCCTCAAGGATATCTCATGATGGAAAAAGACGAGTTTGACCTGCAGCAGCTCCACGACTTTATGCAAGACAGATTCGTCAACGACGACGACTTCACTGCCCAAGATTTGGACGAGCTGACACACTTTCTTGACGAATTTCAAGCCTGGTGGGGTGTCTACCCTCCTCGAATAGCTTGGTTCTCATGGGGGGTTGCTGTCGTTTCTTTCTTTCTGAACTTGGTGAAGAACATCATTCCATCTCGCACTATTTGCTTTGTCACCTACAGTTTGGTGATATTTGGCATCATTCTAGGCCTCTTTTTGATGATATTGACATCTGGAATGGGATTCTGGGGGTTTGTTATCTCTGCCGTATTGATTGGATTCTTGGCAGTATTCATCCGCAAACAGCTATGGCCAAAGATACATTTCGCGGCTCTGAACCTTGAAATCGCTTTGACAGGGATCGGAAAGAATCTCGGAACATATGCTTGGGTCATGGCTTGGGCAAAAATGACGATAGCCTGGATCGCATTTTGGTGTTACACCTTCCTTGGTCTGATGCAGTATGTGACAACCACAAAGTGTCCGCATCTGAAATTTGATCCTAGGAGCGACGACAACGATATCCTTTGTTTCTGTTGTGGCGCTACCAATGTCGTCTTGTTGGCCCTACTTTTATCCCTTTATTGGACACTATCTAGTGTAGCGGTGAGCACATTTACTGAACGATTGATTGATTCTGTGCCAAATCAGAAACTGAGGCTAACCTTGACTTTTTTCCATCTATCGTTTTTGTAGGCCACAATCCAGGTATACGTTGCAGGCGTAATGGGGACTTGGTGTTTTGACAAGGATGCGGCTGGAGGGTTCTGTTCCACCGCTGTGACAAGTTCTATTTACAGGAGTCTGACTTTCTCATCAGGCCCCATTGCATTCGGTAGCTTGCTTCAAGGTGTGGCCAAGATGCTTCGATCAATACTAAGCCATTCCCACCGAAATCAACATCGAAGCAGCCAGCTGGTATACGATTCTGGCGACGATTGTCGATGCTGTTGCTTTGGTCTCTGTGGTCTTGTGCTCGAGTGCTTATCTGAACTCTTTGGAGACGTCCTCGACTACTTTTCTCAATGGGCATATGTTTTTGTGGGTATCAACGGCACCTCTTATCTCGAAAGTGGAAAGGCAGTAATGAATCTGTTCCAGGATAGGGGCTGGACCGCAGTGATTACAGATCGCGTGGTTGGCTTGGTGCTTGGAGTCGGAATCTTGAATGGCGGAGTTGGTACTGGTTTGGCGGCTATCGCAATCGAACGACTGGTAACTTGGTGTTTTCATTCTGAAAACGGTGACTCTGATCTGCCTCCATCCTATGTCTTTGGACCTCTGATGAATATCCCATTGGTCAGCTTCATGTGAGTTTTCTTACTCAGGTGCTCTTTCTAGCTAGTTGTATCTGTTGAATTCTGACCGGCCCTTTCACATTTACTACCTACTAATTAGACTGGGTTTCATTATTGGTTGCGTCGTGTCAGGAATCATGATGAAGGTTATTCATGGTGCCGTCAATACTTTGATTGTATGTTGGGCAGAATCACCAGATGCCTTTGCAGAGAATCACAAGCACTGGGCAGATAAAATGACAGAAGTTTGGTCATCAGCCTTCCCAGGAACTCAAGACCACAATGGCCGTGCCCTTTCGGATACCACGATTTCAGCGGAAACTACAAACTCGGGGAGGTATGGTTCCACGGGTATGAATAATAACTAACTAATACGGCATTACAATACTTCTTAGATGTTACAATTGCGTCGGGCTTACGGTTGTCACACATATCACATATATTCATAGGCTGTCTGAAACAGCAGTTAGAACTGGGTTCGTCTTTCTCACAAGAACAGAGACGAGCAAGTTGCTATCGTCGCAGCATTTGCGTGGTGTTTACAATAGGTACAAACCTTTAGAGTCTTCCAAAAAATCTGAATCAGGCTAATACCTGTCGTTTATAAAAAAAGAAGGAAATCTTGCATCACACTCTCAGTCTTCATTCCCAGCAGTATGTCAAACGGCTTTTTGTTCGTTTGCGAACATACCAACAAACTATATGTGAAGGCAACTCGCACCTCCGTCGCAACCCTCCACGTGACATTTCAGTGAAAAGCCTGACAGTCTGGATGGCCGCGGTCTGGCGGACGGTTTCGAAACGGCTGGTGCTGGAGCCCTACTCGGCTTGAATTCTTCGGACCGTGAGCTACTAAAAGCATTGTTGTTGTTGTTGTTGTGAGGAGAAGCAGTAGGCACTCGAGCCGCCCTTGGCTTGAATTCTTCGGACCGGAATTCTCGGGAAGTGGTTGGACTATTCGCTTTGGGCTTTCGTCGTCTCCCTGGACTGGCCACGGACTGCCGTCCCGCACTGGAACTCCTTGGAGGAGGAGAATTGGCAGAAACAGGAGACCTTGCCATACTTCGTCTTCCAGGGCTCGCCACACCGCTTCTTCCAGGAGGACTCGCCACACTCCTTCTTCCGACAGGGCTTGCCGTACTCTTTCTTCCAGGGCTCACACCAGCCCTAGATTTGTTGCGTCCTGGGCTGACGCCTGGCTGTGATGATACATCACTGGGGTTGGCTGTGAAGGTGTCTCGCCTTTTCTTTCGGCCAGGAACTGGTCGACTAAGATTTTGATTGTTGGAGTACATTATGGTAATGCTACTGATGGAAAGGATGCGAATACCGGTACTGTTTAGGTTGTTGGAAGACTTGGTATGGTTCGACTTTAAGTATCATGTCCACCATAATTTTTGACAGGGGGCGGGTCCAAAGCGTGGCATCCCAAAGGCGCCAGGTACGAACCAACGAGATAGTGCCGCATACGAGTACAGACGGGCAGACGACAAAAGGAGTCTTAGACTTTCAACAATCTTCAAAAAGCAAGAGACACAAGATATTACTATATAGCGAAACTATTAACGTGATCGTAATATTTGTCACCATAAGTGGCCCTTCGGACGAGGAGAATTATACAAGGATAGTAAAGGGGTGGAGCTTGTTTTGCTCATCGTTCCTTGTGGGAAACATGCAAAAGTCACAAGGGACTTTAGCATATTTCCTTCCTCGAAAATAGTGGATGAAGCATGGCTACAAATTACTGAAAAACGAGATTTGGGAACTAGAATTGGAACTGAAGATAAAGTCATAGTCAGCTCACTCCCACAACTCTGCCTGTTGACGATACGATTGAGACTCCTCATCATCATCACAGTCGGAGCTAGCTAAATATCTTTTTAAAAATCGATCCGGTCGATCCGGTCGATCCTAAGTAAAGACAACACATTAAATAAATGTTTTGCGTTTTGTCGCAACCCACGAGCAGCGAAATTCTGCAGTCTCGCAAAAACGACATGATACCAACCTCCACTTTAGGTAACATCTTCGTTTCATTTTTCGTTGATGTTGATTCATCCATCTTCGCAAACAAACACTTTCCTTTCTTCTCCAACAAAAACGATGAGCTTTCGTTCCGAATTGATCTCGCTCCAAGACGACGATTCTCACCCATCAATTCACTGCCACGAAACGATATTGACCGACGCCACACTTTTGTTTTAAATAAAACGACATTCGCTTAACGAAATGTTCTCGGACTCGAGGAGCGTGAAATATTTAGCTACAATTTCTTATCCCGAACATTTTTGTATAGATCATCCCTGCTCGGGTCTTGAGGCCAGCACACGGTGAGCGTGTGCAGGCCGGTGTTTCTTGTGGGGGACGTAGCTCCAGCACCCCCGATTGACAAGTCCATGGCCGCCCCAACTCTCGATTATTGATTTTATTGGAAACGAAGGTATCGGGACTACTGTAGCCCTGTCCAATATCAACTCGAACTAGTCAATTTACTACCGTCTAGAGTCGAAGGATCGCCAAAATAGCAGAAATGTCATTTACGCTATTGGAAGAACAATTCTCCTTATCAACTTCAAACTGGTGTTATTCAACTTCGTTTTCCTGACGTCAATGGTATTTAACACTTCTAATCATAGAGAACAAAGTCAAGGGATATAAGGAAGCACAGATTCAACAATAAACTTATCATCCGGCACCAAAAACACCGGAGAAAGCCCTTGTGGGATACTTTGTTTGCCTTTCCGCATCATCGGCACTGCCTCATCCTTGCCATATTCCTCCACACACAAAAACACAACGCACACACACACACACACACACTCATGACCATGAAACGACGACTGCAATCCGCACCTTCCACCAAGGACCTATCTTTCTTCGAAGATCCCAGAGAATCAACAAAGACAAGGAAGAGGCCTAGAACTGAGCAGTTTCGGAAGCAAAAAGCCATTTACGAAGATGCTATCCATTCGTGTTTGGTATTTCAATCAGAACTCGCCAACCTTACCAATAATAATGACTTGCAACAGCATCCCAGTCAGAGAGATGTTACAAAGTCCACAGCAAATAATATTCGACGCCACATGGAAGGATATGGAAAACGATATCTTGCGAACTGTCAAGAACTCCAATCCGAAGCCCAACAAACGATTGACCTGAGCCTTGGATTTGATGCTCTGTCACGAGCCATTGACAATAATAGTGGACACGAATCACAATGCTTACTTTCCACTTTGAATGTCGGACACGAGACAACCTCTGCCATTAAGCTCCGAATTGCCGAGTATGCTGGCGTAGCAACTTTTGACCAACTGGACGATGTTCAGTCATTATCACTTGAGCTGCAAAAGGATGGTGTAGATGATGGCAAATAGATGAAAGGAACCCATACAGCTGCACAAACATTTTTCCCCCCTGATTCAGATTCAGATCGGCATTTGCTTCTGGCTAAGATCCCGAGAATTTCTTACATTGGAACCAACCAAAACAAATAGACTGCTGTCATTTATAAACTTTAGACTACTATTTACATGATAGCAACGCCTTTTAAAAAAAAGTTTCCTTACTACAGCAACAACAAATCCATATGGAATACTACTATGGCTAGCAGAAGTCACGACGAGTATCATGGAGGGACATTTTAATATTTAGACGGGGAACCTGAAATTAGCGTTCGAGTACTGTTGGAATCATGACACGTCAGAGTGGGGTGCACAAAAGAACCAAACCGTGGCAAGAGGTATACTATCTTTTGCCACTACTCGTAACTGTGATTTGAGTGATATTTGAAATATAATAAAATTGTAGCACTAGATGCCTTCCGATTGAAATGGATTGATCGTGAATCCAGTGTCCATCATTTGATTCATTACATTGGAAGGCTGCTTTGTGACATCGACAAAGCTACCGATAATCTTGGCCGGCACACCGACTGCCACGGAATGGGGCGGTAGGTCACTGATCACTAGCGTTCCAGCACCAACCTGACAACCATCACCAATGTTGATATTACCAATCACACTCGCACCGGCTCCCAACAAGACACCTTGTCCAATCTTTGGATGTCGATCCACACCCTTCTTTCCAGATCCACCAAGTGTCACATGATGTAGAATACTGCAATTATGTCCCACTCGAGCTGTTTCTCCAATAACAATACCCGTTCCATGATCCAGCATGATTCCGGAACCCAAGGTAGCATTCGGATGGATGTCAATTTGAAAGGTTTGGGACATTTGCGATTGCAAGTAATGTGCCAATACCGTTTTGCCCTTTTTGGCCCACAAAATGTTGGCCACTCGATAGGTTTGCAAGGCTTGAAAGCCCTTAAAGTACAAAAAGACATCGGGTAAGCAGGTGCAAGCAGGATCCCGATCACGGACCGCCATGATGTCGGCACGAATGACACGGCCAACCGACGGATCCAGCTGCAAGGCTTCCTTGACCAACGACTGGACTTGTGTCGAAATCATGGCCGGACTGGAAATCTTGTTGGCTAGTAAAAAGGCCAAACTAGATTCCAAAGAATCGTGGTTCAGAATGCTCGAATACAAAAAGCTGACCAGCAATGGCTCTCGCTGGGCTTCTTGGTAGGCTTCCCACCGCATCAGATCCCAAACGACGTCTGTGGAATTGGAATAGACAGATTCTGGAATGGACAAGTCAATGTCTGGATAAAAGAGTGCCGGTTGCCGTGGACTGTTCTCATCCTCTTCATGATTTGTAGTGGTGTCATCTTGGACCCCACCTTGAGTGGGTTTCACCTCTCCAGCCACCACGTAATGTTCGTTGGGTGCTTGGGGATTGTCGTCGAAATGATCTTCGTGCCATAGAGCACCACGCAGTATTTGATCTTCCTCCCTTCGAGCTACCATTTTTCGGGTCGTCCGACCTTTGCGATTTCGTCTGTCGACTGATGGAGTTTTAGACGAACTCACTGTGGGTTCCTCATTTGTCGTCTTCTCCATATTCTTCTGCTTCATCATCATGCCAGGCTTTCGAATGGGTTCTGGAGCATACCAATGAAGTTTGTCGTCTGCATCCTCTTCCGTATTGACTTGATCCGATCCCACCGGCAGATTTTTGCCTATACCAAGATCATATCCGCTCGTCTTGGGAGTATTGGCATGATCACCCGTAGTGGTTTCTGATTTTGACTGGTCGTCTTCAGCAGGAGATAGATTGCTATTGCTGTTGCTGATTTGTATCGTCTGATTTCCTTCCCAGTTCACAGCAGGTGACGCCGAAGAGAACAGTGGAACTGCATATGGCGACCTCGTCCTTTGTCGTGAATGAAGATAAGGATGGATGGATTTGCGAACTGACGGCGCCAGAAAAGAACTGAAGGAGGATACGCCATGATTCTGATTCGACGGACTCCATCCTTCCACCTGAAGTGCCGACAAGAATGCCACAAGCAACACTTTCCATGCTTGTCTTCGATTCAGATTTAGATGCCTCATGACGCTCCTTTGTGTGTGGCTTGCTATTATGCTCTCCTGCCCGTGTCACGTTTATTTGTTTTGTGAGAATAAAAAATGAATCTCACAGAACTGTGATGATTCTCAACTGCCGACGATGACTGACCTTGCTATTTTTGAGACCGGTCGACCTCGCAACATGCATACTATCAATCGAATACTCCGAATAAAAACATGGCAGAACTTTCGATCACTTCGAGCAGATGCTAAAGTTTCGATTGATTCAAATTTATTCCGATCCGAAACACAAAACAAGAAAATAATGGCGGATGACAATGAAAATGACGATTCCGGAACTGTTGGCTGGGGTGGTATCCTAGCTACCTTGAGTGCTTCTTTTCTTCAATCAGCAGTGTTCTATCTCTTGTTCCTCTACCAACGTGCCCAACACAAAAAGAGGAATGAGTTTTCCTTGTACGAACCACGGCAATATATCAAGAAACATGGTACACCATTCAGCGATAACTGGATCAGGGATGCTTGGAATGTGTCACAAGAGGAGTTGCTGAGTATTGTAGGCCTGGATACATTAATGTACTTGAGGTTTTTACTCTTGGGAACAAGGGTCGCTGCTATCGGTGTCTTCTTTTCCATGGTGTTGGTCCCGTTGTATGCCACGGGGAATAACAGAGGCGCTTGGACCACCGAGTTCAATCTCTTCACTCTGGCAAGAGTAGAGCAAGGGAGTAATAAATTGTGGGCGACTGTAGCTTTCTGGTGGCTTTTTATCAGTTACATCCTATTGCAATTGTGGAGAGAATGGAAAACGTTTCAGGGCTTGAAGTTTCGTGGGACGATTCAATGGGATCCAGATAGCACGAGAGAAGCTAGGTATGCCGTCCGGGTAGAGCTTTCGGATAGATCATCATCATCATCATCATTGTCCATAATGAAAAGTGATAAGGCACTAGCAGAGAAATTTGAAGAATTGTTTCCATCGCAAATACGTCAAGCCAACATATTCTTGGAGGTCGGACCGTTGGAAAAGGCCATTGCCGAACGTCAAATTGCCATCGAAGCGGTGGAAAAGGCAACTGCATTTACCATGGCAAAGCCATTGGAACCCCGCCCACAGACAAAAATTAAGAGCTATTTACCATGCAAGGGTGAAACAGTGGACACTATTGAACACTTTTCACATGAAGTGGATCGACTCAACAGGGATATAGATGACATGCGGGCCAAGATCTTGCACCAACGAGATCTTGCAGACAACAGCAACAGTAGCAGCATGGATAGTGAAGATGCTGCCGACCGGAACTCTTACATCCCTTCGAGCACCGGTATTGTCGTATTTAAATCGTTGCTGGCAAAAGAATCCGCCATGAAACGAGACGACACGCAAATGACAATCGTTCCAGCGTCTGACCCGGAAGCAATTCTATGGGAAAACGTCACGGTTCCGTTGAGAAAACAGAAATATAGAGCCATCGCTGCTGCTGTGCTTTGGACATTTGGCGTCTTGTGGTGGGCAGTACCGGTCGCTCTAATGACAGCAATTGCCAACCTTGGTGCCATACTGAAAATATTTGGTCTGAGTCGAATAATCAATCAAGATACAGCTATCTATGGGATTGCCTCTGGGTTGGCTCCAGTGGTTGCATTGATCGTATTGATGATTGCAGTATATGAAGGCATTTTAACAGTGGCGAAAAAGTATATTCGATTCAAGTCAGCTCCTGAAGTTGGCGCGTATGCGATGCGTTGGCACATGCTATTTCAGTTTGCCAACCTGTGGCTCATTCTCATCGGGGGGTCTTTATTCCACCAAGTCGGTGCGCTAATAAAGGACCCATGGTCCATTGTGGACATCATCGCCTATGCTTTGCCAGGGGCGTCGAGGTTCTTTGTCAACATGATATCGGTGAATGGGGTGGGACGCTTTGGCCTCGAGCTATCCATGCTCCCTCAATATGGAACGACTCTTTTTACGAATTTTCTACTTCCAGAAGCTCAACGAACCCAACGTATGATCGATGAAGGAAAGAAGCCGCCTGAGGTTCAATGGGGGAAGATGATACCACAACATGTTTTCGTCTTTTTCGTAATGATCATGTACCAGCCAATTGCTCCCTTGGTGGATGTATTTGCTTTGGTTTACTTTTGCGGCACCTACATTGTGTGGAAGCACCAATGCATGCACGTATATTGCCAGCCAGCCGAAGGTGAAGGGAGCACAACATGGCAGTCATTCTTTGGATTCCTTTTGGCGTGTCTTTACATGAGTGAAATGGTCTTCATTGCGTACATGGGGATCAAGGAGGCACCAAGTCAAGCAGCTTGTGGGTTCGTTCCACTGACTGCAACATTATTGTTTCACTACAAGGTTCACCAAGCGTTCGTCTTCGCGAGTACGGGCATTGATGCTGCTGACGGAACCGATCCCCGAGCTTCCCTAATCGATATGCCGATTCAAGAGAAGGTATATTGGCAACCAAGCTTGAAGGCCGGCTTGTTCGAGAGAGAGCCGATGCCATATAGACGAGTGGTTTCTGAGTATGGTACCCTACCCTAAAAACGAACGCATGTCAACATATTGTGTACTATATTTTACAGGTGCAATAAGGCGTTCAGACCAAGCTAAGCACTAGCACTTTCACCATACATTCTATCGTATTTCACAATGAAGGACTTTACAATTGCTTCCCCTTCACGGACCCATTCCTCTCGATTTGACATGGCGTAGTTTAAGTACTCATGGGAAGCAACACCAAAGACACCGCACTCTTGCAACTTCATTGCCAAAGGAATAACATAAAAGTCAAAGAATCCGATTTCCCCGCGGTACCAATTCACACTTGGATCCACAGTCGCACGATTCATCTTATAAGCCCCATAACACTCCATGAAGAACTTTTCGTTCCTAAGAAGTAATGAAGGGTGTCATATGAGATTTCGTGCAGTAAAGCACGAGCGGAAACTATAGGTAGGATCTTTTACTCACCATGCCTTGTAGATGTGCCAATGCTGCATCGTATGTGCTACGTCCGATGCTTGGATCAAATGCTCAATCACAATTGTCGCCTTTCGATCGTCCTTGATTTCATCCTCTGGTATTGGATCATTGGAAAAGGCAGTATCCCATCGACCCCTGCGAAGCGCCTGGAGCTCTTTGTCTACAATATCTGTTGCCATAACAGAGTTGACTACTAATTGACGGAATCGCTTGAGACCCTCTTCATTCTGATAGATGCAAGATCGCAGATTCTTGAATTCATCCTGCATCAACATACTCCATGCTAGATCCACACTATTCTGCTCGGCGATAGACTTCTTATAGACCTTCGCGTTCCTTGTATTTTCCACCAAGAGCTGCGAGTTTGGCACACCAGGGTGATCGACGTCGTGGATGATTGCAGAAAATACAACAGCAAATTGTGTCAATGGATCAGATGTGATGCCATAAGAGTGTCCGGCCAAGTCAACGAGATCAATTTGCTCGGCAGATGTATCCTTAACGCCTCCAAATACCTTCCCTTCGTCAACATTTACAATTCGTCGCAGCAGCTTAGTTACAGACGCAGTTACGTGACTTGCATGCTCAAAATTGTGGAATGGATTATCGTTGTACATCTCGGCAATATGGGCGACATAGTTTCGAAGTTCATTCTTTGCTTTTTCTCCAACGTCGATATCTGCTGGGCTTGGCCGCTGCCTCAAGTGCTTTGCATCGAACCTTTTGAAGTTGATGATTGTGGCAACCTCGTCTAGAACATCATGACCTGCGGAGATTGATGCTTCAGCGTTCCGTAAAGACTCCGATGGTTCAATCACGTCAAATCTGGATGCAATGATTTGTTGCAACAGAGAAGCTAAAACTTCGACATGCCATTCAACGAGACGCTCTATTTTCGACATTCCGCGTGGAATGTATTCCGCAATCGAGCCATCCTCTGATGGAGTATCACTTGCACCAGAAGTAACAGACTGTTCATCAAGTTCCGAGACAGAAGCGAGAAGTCGATCATTCCCTTTTCGAGACTTTCCTTTCCGGATACTTAACCAGTACGTTTGCATCTCGCCCTTGCCTTTGGCAAAGATCGTAGTTCCACGCTGCTCGATCAAGGCACTGTAACCATGCTCTTTTAGTAGATCTGCAGTGGCCTGGGATATTTGAATGCAATTCGCCTCTCCTGTATGTTCCATTCTTGCAGCAGTATTCATTGTGTCACCAAAGAGCTGAAAACGGCTTCTGTCTCCCCGAAGTACTCCTGCTGTAACTTGGCCGCTGTGGCACGACCGGTAAATTGCTGAGCGGACATTCGATGTCGTCAACATAAGTCGCCCTGCAACGTCTTACCTGTGAATTCCAACTCGAAGGTCCAGCTCTGATGTTTCTGGTCCTAATAACACTTCCAATCGTTGGGTTATCTCTTTCATTTTCCAAACTATGTCACGGGCGAAGCGAGCAACGCAGACTGTTCAAGACAAAAAAATAGCAACAACACGTAAGTACAAATTTGATTCATACAAGGTAATCGATCAAAGATGGAGCATGTAGGTCAACGAGCACATTGTTGATCATCACATTTTGGGATACCTACCAGCATGTCTCTCATTCGGTTCTGGTAATCCGGCCACGGCCACATAGCAGTCCTTAAGAGTACAAACATAGTGTAATGAGTTCGCTGGGATCTTTACAAAGTACTGACTCAGCTGGATTTCTTACCCCAACGGTTTCAATCTTGAACACTCCATGACGGTATGCAATCTTGTCAAAGGCCATGTACAGAGATTCGAGTAATCTGAACACTTGTTGCGGCTCACGAGCTGATGACCAAGCGGTAAAACCTACAATGTCAGCAAAGATAACGGTCGTGTTTGGGAACAAATCTGCCAAAGGAGGAGCACCGAAAACGTCAAGTTCATCGTCAAGAGCTGTAAGTGAAGACGACCTGGGAAGGTCTTGTGTTGCGTCTGGCTCTTCGAGGTCATCGTTGTCGTTATACAAACGATCGCGGACGGCTGTTGGAAACACATCAGCAACAATCTTGTCTTGTGCCATGATTCGATTCATTACTTTCTTTTGTCGTCTTCCAACAAAGAAATCGTAAACCAGGAAGACCAAAGTTGTGAAAATGAAGACGGAAACCACCACGCCTGTGTAAGCAGAAGATTTGCCACGGTGAAATCGATTTTCATACATTTGTGTTGGAAAGAAGTGCAACGTAATCTCTGGAATGCATTGGGCTTCTGGCACTGCCGATGAAGCAATATCAAGATCAAATAGAATGCTCCTCGCTTCAATGTAGTCAAATTCGTCATCATGCCCGTCGTATGGACCAAGAAATTGGGCCTTTGGTCCATTCAGATTATATGTCAGTACTCCAGCCTCAGTGCTGACACCATCATTGATACAATTTATGCGCAGGATCAGTATGAGGTCGTTTACTCCCTCCGGTAAAATATCTTTGATGTAGTTGCCCCAATCCATTGAAAGGCCAACCACTCCAAGGAGTTCTTTCTCATTGGAAGGATCTACGATGGGCTGTACTATCAAGCTTTTTGCGATTTCAGAGTCTCTGGAGACCATGAATGCACCAATGCTTGGCTTGGATGTTGCCCTGGTTAATTCGAAGAGATCGCGAATATGTGGGTCGGTTGTCAAGTCGTTGTTTGTGTACAGTGCATCATTGTCGGTATTCAACGACAGAACTGGCTGGGCAACATCTGGAGAAAGCGGGTAGTACTGCCAAACAGGCAAGGTAGCCCCACTTGTATTGGTGTTGAGAGTAGAGTCGTCTTCGTAGGAGTGTATTTGGTTCACGGTTCTCTCCGTCAATTCCTGAACTGAAAATGACAGTGCTTCTCTGTCCACCGACTGCTGATACCACATTGGCGACTTTTCTATTGAATACAGTTCCCAATCCGGTGCATCAAACTCTTCAACGCGTGGAGCTAAAAATGATTGGGCATTGTCGTCACCAACGAGCTTCATGATTTTCTGGGCTCGTAGCGGCCAATCATTGACAGTGACAAATGGCCAGGTACTATTTGTTGCGGCTGCTTCTAAAGCAATGCCGACTGCAAAGGAATCCAATGCAAGAAATAATCGTTCGATCTTTTGGGCAATGACTAGCAAGACTTCCTCGGAATACACAGAAAACTGAAGCAAAAAGTACGAATGTATTGTTTCAGACTTGTCCTTGGAGATCAACAGTAGGAATTGTCATTCTGAAGATGAAACTTACCTCATCACTAAAATCATCATCTTCCTCTTTCTTGACAAATCGAAATGTTCCTAATGCTGCCCCAATGATCGAACTAATAAGTACGAGAGCAACCAATATCCTCGAGATAATCACATTTCTGTGTTCCCGGTGCGCAATCTGTGGTGGAAGCAGTTGACCTCGCTTCCTTTCGTTGAAAGCGGCTGAAGCATCGTCATACAACGAAGCATCTTCACTTTTCCACCTGAAAGTAAACTGTGAAGCGCCGCCAGCGCTTAACTCTGAAAGGCTTCGGCCATCGTCGCTCAGGGGGGACATATCTTATTACGATACTTGATTGAGTTTCAGTTGTTGCCGGGTACATGCATCATGCGGAGAAACTTTTATGAAGGTGTTGAAAAGTGTTGGTCGACGACAGACGACGCCTCTATGAAAAGAGTTTGTTGGTCACATATGTATTTTATATATGTTATTAGAGGATATACCTTCACGACTAGCTACATAGTAAAAAAGTGCTCAACATTCTCCGTCATGTGGTTAAAAATTCTTTTGTGGGTCACACATACGCTAATTCTTACCGGCAAATAAAATTCCTTTGTACCACGTGTACGTGTACCACGTACGTATGCGCTAATTCTGTGAACGATACTACGTTGATACTGCAGGTGACTGGGACGAAAAAAAGCGAAACATGTGTCGTGGCAAACGATGGATTTGGTAGCGTATTGCTGGTTAAAATAGGCAAATATGTTTTACTGTAACTTTCTCTAGGAGCAGTGGAAACTGTGCAACTTCAAACTTCGTTGCCATTTGGTCGCTTTGTTCATCAATCTTGACTCTCAACTGCAGGATCATCGATGCATTGATGAGTTCATGTCTTTTTCCGTCCCGTTTTCTTTTTCCTCATAACGACTCACAAAATCCTGCACAAGCTCTTCACCGTCTCGGATCCACTCGTCCCGGTTCGCCGTTGCATAGTTCAAATACTCGTGCGATGATACCCCAAAAACGCCGCAGTCATCCAACTTCTTCGCCAAAGGAATCACATAAAAGTCAAAGAAGCCGATCTCTCCTTTGTACCAGTTGATACTTGGGTCAACATCCGCCCGGCCAGACTTGTAGGCTTTATAGCACTCGCAAAAGAACTTTTCGTTCCAGCTTTTGTAAATGTGCCAATGCTGCATTGTGTGCACTACGTCTGATGCCTGGATCAAATGCTCAATAACAATAGTGGCCTTGCGATCCTCGCTGTCTACATCCCGTTCGAGGTTTGAAGTGCCCGAGAAGGCAGTTTCCCATCTCGCCTTGCGTAGCGCCTGAAGTTCCTTGTCAACAATATCAGTTGCCAGCACCGTATTCACCACCAGTTGGCGGAATCGTTTCAAGTCGTTTTCTGTCTGATAGATGCAAGAGCGTAGCTCATGATACTCCTCTTGCATAAGCATTGTCCAAGCCAAATCCACGCTGTTCTGTTCCGCCACCGACTTTTTGTAGAATTTTGCATCTCTAGTACTTTCTTTCACCAACTGAGCATTCGGAACACCAGGATGGTCTACATCATGAACAATCGCTGAGAAGACGACCGCAAACTGAGTCAATGGGTCCGATGTGATGCCATATGAGTGTCCCGCCAAATCGACCAAATCCATCCTCTTTTCCGGCGGTAGATCATGTTTGCCAAATGCTCCGTTTTCATCAACTGACACAATGCGCTTCAGCAGTTTTTTCACAGACGCTGTAACATGCGAAGCATGCTGGTAAAAATAGAAACACGTTAGCGTCATCTCGTTAGAGATAGCAAAGTGCAGAGCAGAATCTCACCTCAAAGTTGTGAAATGGATTATCTTTGTACATGGAAGCAATACTGGAGAGATAGCTCCGAAGCTGTGACTTCGCTTCTTCTCCTATGTCAATCGAGCTGGGCCTCCGTCGCGCCTTGAGCTCATCCGCATCGAATCGCTTCAACGGAATGATGGGCACAAACTCGTCCAGCACGGTGCGTCCAGTCTCAACGTTGCCCGCCTTTAGTAGACTTCGTTGCGATAGCTGTTTTTCAACAGACCCTTCTCTTGACGCAATGATTTGCTGCAGCAGCGACGCAAGCAATTCCACATTCCATTCGACTAGACGGTCTGTCTTGGTCATCCCAGCGATATTATCAGGGTCGAAAACGTCATCATCATAACCGTTGTCCACTTCGGTTTCCACCGTTTCGTCGAGAGCCACCAAGTCCATGCTGTTGTGAAATAGTTTCAGAAGCTTCCTCTTTCGGATCCAATAGGTTTGCATTTCCCCCTTTCCCTTTACTAAGATCTTTTGGCTTCGTGGTACTACCCATGCGGATAGTCCTCCTTCATTTAGCAAGTCTGCGGTTTCCTTAGTTAGCTGGATACGACCAGGCAGTCCGCTACTTTCCATTCGCGATGCCTGCAAGAAAAGAATGTTGGATACTGTATGTTGTAGAGGAAGGATAGTAAATTTTCATTGTTTGATCTTACCGTGTTCATAGTGTCACCGAAAAGCTGGAAGCGGCTTCGTTCACCTCTTAATACACCGGCAGTGACTTGACCACTAATACACAAAGAGGAAGAATGAGTCGTCGTTTCTCGAGAAGAATTTATAAAATTTGACATGCAATACACACCTGTGAATGCCTACTCGCAAATCTAAGTCTGCTGTGTCAGGACCCAGCGTGACTTCCAACTTCAGCACCGTCTCTTGCATCTTCTTCATGCAATCTCGAGCAAATCTTGCTGCAATCACTGTTTCGTTTCAAAAGCATTCAAAGTTGTTGTTAGTGCGAGGATTGAGAAAAGGATTTCGCAAGCAAAGTTTTCATGCCAATAAAACCCAGTATTACTCACCCGCGTGTTGGTCAGTGGGCTCGGGGATTCCTGCAACTGCCACATACGAATCGCCTACAGTCTCAAGTTTAAAAATTCCATGCCGATGGGCTACTTTGTCAAACGTTGCATAAATGGTCTCGAGCAAGGTGAAGACTTGCTGTGGTTCTCTTGCAGATGACCACGCAGTGAAACCAGAAATGTCAGCAAAGACAATTGTTGTGTTGGGAAATAGGTCTGCAATTGGCGCTCCAGACCTGCTACCCGGTTTATCAACACCCAATGGATCCAATGAATGCTGGCTGTCGTCGTCTTTGTCTTCCTTTCCATTTTCTTGCTGTTGGTTGTATAGACGGTCTCGAATGGCTGTGGGGAAAACATTTGAAACGATGAGCTCTTGCCTTGCTATTCTTTTCATGACTTTGCGTTGCCTTCGTCTCACAAAGAAATCATATACCAGAAAGAGAGTGCTGGTTAAGGCAAAGACAAGCACAGCTCCGGTTGTAAAATATGCTGCTTTGTTTGTTTGGAATGCCTTTTCGAGATTTTTGGTCGGGTAAAGTTGAAGGTTCAGCGTCGGCACACATATTCCAGGTGGCAGTTTGGTCCTGTCGATTTGAAGATCAATTAGTCTTTCCGATATCTCCAAATTATCATATTGGGAATCGTGGGCGTCAAACTCTCCTAGAAACGTGACGTTCGGCCCGTTCACTTCATACGACAACAGCCCAATCACTTCTTCTTGTCCGTTGCTGTCGAGATTGGGACAGGTACTCCGAAGTACAATTACGATACCATTGTTGCCTTCGACCAGTAAATTCTCGAAGTAGTCAATCCATTTCAGCTTTAGCAATGCAACGCCAACCAAAGTCTGATTCTCGGTTTTGCCTCCAGCTCTTTCAAACACTGGTTGCATGATGGACCCTTCGGCGACAGAAGTCTTCGCATCTGTGAGTACTTGAGTCACTCCAACAACCGGGCTCTTTGTTGCGCTAAGGGCATTGAATAGATTGGTTGCGAATGGTGTTGTAAGTAGGTCCAAATTCGTCTCCATAAGAGGAATGGAGTTCTCAGATATCAAGGGATAGGAAAGCCATACCGGCAGCGTAACCCCACTTCTAGTAACACGGGTAGGGGAAAATCCATTCCGAAAATCATAGTAGAAGATGTAGGGTAGTGTCTTTGTCATCAGATCTTTGACTGTTGTATCTTTCACTTCGTTTTCGATCGACTCCCGATACCATCTTGGGGCGGTTTCTTGTGAGAAATTTGCCCATAATTCTCTCTCTGATTCCTGAATAATGGGTGCAAAGGATAGCTCAATATTTTCTCCCATGAGACGCCCCAGTTTTTCTGCATGGATAGACCAATCTGGTACGAAGATCAAGGGCCAAGTCGTATTTGAAGCACCAGCTTCAGAGGAAATGATCGTGGACAAAACATCCAGTGCGCTGAATACTTGTGTGGCTTTCTGACGTGAAATACTGACGATTTGTGCAGCATTCCCTCCAAACTATTGGAAAAAGACAAGGAGGAGAATATCGAGCTTTCGTGGTAAGACGAACACATCATATGAAATCAAATACATACAAAGACCACAGTACACAGCACGTACCGCATCTTCAAAATTGTCTCTTTCTTCCATTGTTATGTTAACGTATGTTGCCGCTGCAACCGCGGAAACAGCCAGCAATACAACAACGAAAACAGCACCCTTCAAAAGCGAAATAGCTCGACTCTCCTTTGTACCAAAATTGGATGATGACGACGTTTGCTTCTTCAAAAAGGACCGGCGTGACGATGCGGAAGTAGCTTCCTTTGAGTCGTCCTCCATTGACATGAAATGACTGTCATTCCCAACGGAACCGTTACTATGCATTGATGGACCATTTCCACTGTCAACACTTTCTTTATCTCCAGCGCGTTCCCACATACCCTTCATGATTGCCTGATTCTTGCTATTGGTAACGAGTGTTTATGATGAGCATATTACCCCGGACCGGTACGGTACTCTGTATGCAGCTTTTTTCCCGTTTCGGAACTCAGTGGCAGGCATTTTCAGAAAAATACTTAGAAGCACCATATCAGCCTTAAGTTGAAAAACCGCTACATCTTGGTTACATTCCATAAATGACATAAAATGATTGATACGTGAATGAATGCCAGTGAGACTAAAAGAGTGGTGCGGGACTGCCCAGTCCTACAGTACAATCTGTTGTGTAAACCATTTTTGCTTTTCTAGAGCACTGGCAGAGATGAAATAGCTAGCGCCATTCTTCTTGTATCTTAATAATCAAATGCTGCAGGTCTTTACGAATTAAAAACAATCAAGTTTCAACCTTCCTACTGTTTCCCCTTACGTTGGTTGTTGTTTTCCAAAAACTGATTCACAAGCTCTTCGCCGTCTCGAACCCATTCGTCCCGATTTGCCATAGCATAGTTCAAATACTCGTGCGATGATACCCCAAACACACCACAGTCGTCCAGCTTCTTCGCCAAAGGAATCACATAGAAATCAAAGAAACCGATTTCTCCTTTGTACCAGTTGATGCTTGGGTCAACATCCGCCCGACCAGACTTGTAGGCTTTGTAACACTCGCAAAAGAACTTTTCGTTCCAGCTTTTGTAAATATGCCAATGCTGCATTGTGTGCACAACATCTGATGCTTGGATCAAGTGCTCGATAACAATGGTGGCCTTTCGATTCTCGCTGTCATCATCTCTTAGTCGATTAGAAGCGTCCGAGGAGAAGGCAGTTTCCCAGCGTGCCTTGCGTAGCGCCTGAAGTTCCTTATCGACAATATCAGTCGCCATGACTGTATTCACCACTAGTTGGCGGAAACGTCGCAACTCTCCTTCAGTTTGATAGATGCAGCTTCGCAATGATTCATACTCTTTCTGCATCAGAATTTTCCAAGCAATGTCGACGCTATTCTGCTCCGCAACAGACTTGTTCTTGTACAGCTTTGCATTCGGAGCGCCTTCCTTCACCAACTGAGTGTTTGGTACACCTGGATGATCCACGTCATGAATGATGGCAGCAAACACGACAGCAAACTGGGTCAGCGGATCGGACGTGATACCGTAGGAATGACCGGCCAAGTCGACCATGTTGACTTCGCTGCTCGCATTCGACTGGGTGAGTCCATTTCCAGGGTCAACGTTCACGATGCGTTTGAGTAGTTTCTTCACTGATGCAGTGACATGACTGGTATATTAAAGTACAAGAAGGCAAAGGTAAAGTGAGTTCATGTAGAGTATGTTTGTTTAGAGTCAAGCCAACAGTACTCACCTAGCATGCTCAAAGTTGTGGAATGGATTGCTGTCTGTATACAGGTCAGCAATTCTGGCAAGGAAAATTCGTAGTTCTGATTTGACATCATTACCAATATCAATCGTACTTGGGCTCTTGCGACGGTCCTCCTGCAAGTCATTGGCAGCCCTTTTCAGTTGAATGATAGGTACGAACTCTTCCAATATGGTTTGACCAGAACGGATGTTTGATTCGACGACCTCTAGAGGTTTGATGCTCTTTCGAGATCCCCCTCTCGAGGTCACAATTTGCTGCAGTAGTGAGCTCAGCACTTCAACATTCCACTCAACGAGGCGTTGGGTTTTGTTCATAGTCTCCACACCGTTCATGTCAAGAAAGTCATCCTCCCTGTCGGAAACACTAAAGGAGTCGTCGGTTGTTTCTTCTTCGCTAATCGTTGATTCGACTTGACAGGCACTGCCCTTTACTTTCGCCTTCTTCGAAAACGTTGAACGAAGCCAGTAGGTTTGCATTTCCCCCTTGCCTTTGACAAAGGTCTTCTCTCCCCGTGGTATGATCATGTTTGCAAAACCACTTTCTCTCAGCAAATGAGCAGTGGTCTCTGTGATCTGTATACAGTTTGCCCTTCCGGTACTCTCCATGCGAGCCGCTGTGTTCACAGTGTCTCCAAAGAGCTGGAAGCGGCTGCGTTCACCTCGCAATACACCAGCCGTCACTTGACCACTGATAGAAAATTAGGTTATTTTTTGTGATGCCAATGTAATCAAATCATCGTTCAACGAGAAGGTACCTTTGCCTTTGGCTTACCTGTGAATACCAACTCTTAGTTCCAAGTCCGACGTATCCGGACCAAGAGATACTTCGAGTTTCAATGTAATATCCTTCATCTTTCTCATGCAGTCTCGAGCGAATTTGCATGCCGCCACTGTGCCATGAAAAGCGACATTTTGTGAGCACAACTATAAGCTCTTCATGCTAGTATTCATTGACGCTTACCCGCATGCTCTTCCATCGGTTCTGGCAAACCCGCGGCTGCGACATACGAGTCGCCTACAGTCTCGACTTTGAAAACATTGTGCCGATAAGCTACTCTGTCAAAAGCTGCATAGATGGTCTCAAGCAATGCGAAGACTTGCTGTGGTTCTCGAGCAGACGACCAAGCAGTAAATCCCACAATGTCAGCAAACACAATCGAAGTGTTGGGGAATAAATCTGCCATTGGCGCTCCATCGGTGACTTTGTCAGCCTCGTAGTCGTTATCAAAACTGTCAACAAAATTTCCACCGGGACGCCCTGATTTTCCCATGCCATCATATAGCCGATTCCGAATGGCTGTGGGGAAAACATTTGCCACAAGTTGGTCTTGCATTATGATGCGATCCATGACTTTTCTCTGTTTGTATCGTAGGCATCGTAGGCGAAGAACCATCGGTTTGCATTAGAGAGTTGGTCGAAGATTTCGTAGTGAATGCGAAATTTCTTACCTGTCTTCTTCCAACAAAGTAGTCATACAGCAGAAAAACAAAACTAGTAAACAAAAAGATGGCAATGATCACTCCTGTGTATAGGAATCGGCTGACGGTGTAAAACGTTTCTTCGAATTGTTCTGTTGGATAGAGATGGAGTGAAAGTTTGGGGATGCACTGACCACTGGGAATGCTTGATGATTTAATATCAAGGTCCACGAGAATGGAGGTCACTTCAAGGGCGTCATATTGGGGATCATGTGCATCGTACTCGCCCAGATAAGTAGCCACAGGTCCTTTGATCTCGTAGCTGACAACGTTTACTTCTTCTTCTGCGAAACTCTCTTGATTATACAGATTGTATGTTGGACAACTGTTTACGAGAACAAGTGTAATCGGATCGGTTTCCTCGGTAAAAAAGTCTTCAAAGTATCGTGTCCATTCCATCGTCAAATACACCACTCCGGCCATTTCCCTATCCTCTGCTTTTGATTTAGCACTCTTGAAAATGGGTTGCATGATCTGACTCGAAACGATAGGTAGAGATGATCCACCACCCTCTTCTATCAAAGTCTCAGAAAAGCTGATGGTAGTGTTTAAGGTAGCATTCGTCAGAAAGAAGAGGTCGCTAAATTGTTTGAACGACATCAAATCGATATTTGTTAAGGTGCGTTGCGTCGTTGGTTCGATCGCAAACGGATAGCTTTGCCACACTGGCAAGGCCGTGTCTTCTGATGGGTAGATACTCAAGGTTTCCAAGTCATATCGGAAAATCAACGGGGTAGTCTTTCTCATGAGCTCAATTGCAGTCATATTAAAACCTTCCGTGTCAATTGCGTCTTGATAAATCTTTGGAGCATTTTCCATAGTATGGGATGTCCATTGCCCAATGTTAGCAGGATTGACTACAGGACAGAAAGCCATGGTAGCTTCAGGTACACCAATGAGTTCTCCCAACGACTGTGCCTTTGCCGACCAATCACTGATTGTAACAAAAGGCCACGCTTGATCTGTTGCTTGCGCTTCTGACGCAACGCTAATCGAGAACGAGTTCAAGGCGCGAAAGAGTTGATCTGTTTTCTGCTTTGTCACAACGACAATTTCATCTGCATGACTTCGAAACTGAAAATGTAATTAGCAGATTGAAGTGACATAATATTTTATCCTTTTCCCTACCAATGACTTACTTGACCCTCAAAGTCATTTCGCTCTTGCTGCTCAACAAAACGATATGTTACAGCGGCAGTTGCACAAGCTGCAAGGAACAAGAACAAAGCCACCAAAAGTTTGGATCGATTTACAGCCTTTTGTTCTCGCCGTGCAACATCAAGGTTTTGATTGGATACCTCAGCCTTCTTGTTTTGGTTGTAATCTTCTTCTTCCGTGGTAGATTCGATGCCGGATTCTGAAGTAGCCGACATGTTACCATGGGTTTGGCCGCTTGCACTGATTTCAGCAACGCTTCCGTTATCTTCTGATGCATACCGATTGTTGTTCATGGTTGCTTTTTTCTCAAATCGGGTAAAAAAAGTGCACTTTTGTAATAAAAGTGGTTGCGAAACAGGTCCCGCCGTGATTTAAAAAACTGGTAATATATGATACATGTCCAATGTAACACACAATCAGTCCGCCAATTTCAAAGTTCGCACGAAAGAGTCAAAAATCGGAAAGTTCCTTCTGATGTTTCTGGGCAGGACATCTTGATATTGAAGATGCTACACACCGTTGGATTTCTGCGCAGCCAATCTCAAAAAATGACCACAGAAACATCAAATGAAAACAACATTTATGACAGCTAGCTTTAACGCCTCCGTAAAAAAATGTGCGACAAGTTTTGTTTCTATTCATGATCCATCAGGCCAACAGGCAGGTACCGGTACAATACTGTGTGCATCTCTGTCGGACGTTCAGCCATCTCGAGTTCAAGACTACCATGCTCCATGCTGTTCCAAATAAAGGAAAACCATTACTGTTGGATTTCCAGCTTTTCTGCTTCTACCGCACATTTTCTCGGTTGGATCTTCGCCTCCAATAGAACTCGACAACGCAAGAGATGCGTGCCATACCACGAAAGGATTGTGATATATCTATGAGAAATAATACTCTACATTTCGTATTCTAGGACTTCATCTCTTCGGATATTTAGCATTCGATGGCTTACTTTCCCCCCTCACTCTTGTCCTTATACTTTTCCAGGAATTGCTTCACGAGCTCTTCACCGTCTCGCACCCATTCATCCCGATTCGCCGTTGCATAGTTCAAATACTCGTGCGATGATACCCCAAACACACCACAGTCGTCCAGCTTCTTCGCCAAAGGAATCACATAAAAGTCAAAGAAACCGATTTCTCCCGTGTACCAGTTGATACTTGGGTCAACATCCGCCCGGCCAGACTTGTAGGCCTTGTAGCATTCGTGAAAGAACTTCTCGTTCCAGCTTTTGTAAATATGCCAATGCTGCATTGTGTGCACAACATCTGATGCTTGGATCAAGTGCTCGATGACAATGGTGGCCTTTCGATCCTCGCTGTCTTCATCACTTCGCAGATTGGAAGCGTCCGAGAAGGCAGTTTCCCATCTCGCCTTGCGTAGCTCCTGAAGTTCCTTGTCAACAATATCAGTCGCCATGACTGTATTCACCACCAGTTGGCGGAATCGTTTCAAGCCCTCTTCTGTCTGGTAGATACAAGCTCGCAGCTCTCGATACTCATCTTGCATCAGCATTTCCCAAGCCAATTCTACACTGTTCTGTTCCGCAACCGACTTTTTGTATACCAAAGCGTTCCTAGTATTTTCTCTGACCAATTGAGTGTTTGGTACACCTGGATGATCCACGTCATGAATGATGGCAGCAAACACGACAGCAAACTGGGTCAGCGGATCGGACGTGATACCGTAGGAATGACCGGCCAAGTCGACCATGTTGACTTCGCTGCTCGCATTCGGCTGGGTGAGTCCATTTCCAGGTTCAACATGCACGATCCGTTTGAGTAGTTTCTTCACTGATGCCGTGACGTGACTGATAAGATACAGTACAATGTAGCGGGGGGGGAAACAGTGAGGTCATGAAGTAAAATTGCTGACAGTCATATTCGAACCAATGCCAATCGTACTCACCTAGCATGCTCAAAGTTGTGAAATGGATTGCCGTCTGTGTACATCTGAGCAATATTCGTGAGGAAGCTTCGTAGCTCTGATTTCACATCATCCCCAATAGGAATTGCACTTGGGCTTTGCCGAGGGTCAACTGAATCATTGTCTAGTCTCTTCAAATGAATGATGGGTACGAACTCCTCCAATATGGTTTGTCCAGAACGAATGTTGGATTCGGCAACCTCTAGAGGTTTGATGCTCTTTCGAGATCCCCCTCTCGAGATCACAATTTGCTGCAGCAATGACATGAGCACTTCAACATTCCATTCAACGAGGCGTTGTGTTTTGTTCATACTATCCACGCCGTTCATGTCAAAAAGGTCATCCGCCCTGTCAGAAGCACTGAAGGAGGAGTCGGCCGTTTCTTCTTCGCTAATCGTCGATTCGATTCGATGAGCAGTATCCATTGCTCTGACGCGCTTCGAATTCGTTGAACGAAGCCAGTAGGTTTGCATTTCGCCCTTGCCTTTGACGAATGTCTTTTCTGCACGTGGTATGATCATGTTTTCAAAGCCACCCTCCTTCAGCAAGTCGGCAGTGGCCGCTGTGATCTGAATGCAGTTTGCCCTTCCGGTACTCTCCATACGAGCCGCTGTGTTCATCGTGTCTCCAAATAGCTGGAAGCGGCTGCGTTCACCTCGCAATACACCAGCCGTCACTTGACCACTGGTACAAAGAGGATACTTTTAGTGATGCCAGTCTGATCATCGTTCTGCGAGAAGGTACATTTGCCTTGACTTACCTATGAATACCAATTCTTAGTTCCAAGTCCGATGTATCTGGACCAAGAGATACTTCGAGTTTCAATGTAATCTCTTTCATCTTCTTCAAGCAGTCGCGAGCGAATTTACATGCCGTCACTATATTCCATGAAAAGCAGCAAATAAGTTGTGAGCACAAATTGTTTACCAATTGGTTTGAAAGGCGAGTGCTAAAGTATACTAGAGCAAGGAGCTCGACGAGCAGACCTTTCTTTTACACTCACCTGCATGCTCTTTCATTGGTTCTGGTACACCAGTTGCTGCAACATAGGAGTCGCCAACCGTCTCGACTTTGAACACATTGTGTCGATACGCCACTCTATCAAAAGCTGCGTAGATAGTCTCAAGCAACGTGAAGACTTGCTGAGGTTCTCGGGCAGATGACCACGCCGTGAAACCAGAAATGTCAGTAAAAATAATGGTTGTGTTGGGAAATAAGTCTGCCATCGGTGCTCCATTGGTGACTTTGTCAGCCTCGTAGTCGTTGTCAAACCCGTCAACGAAATTTCCACCAGGTCGCCCCGATTTTCCCATGCCATCGTATAGTCGATTCCGAATAGCTGTGGGGAAAACATTTGCCACAAGTTGGTCTTGCATGATGATGCGATCCATGACTTTTCTCTGTTTATATAGTAGTTCGCATTAGAAAGGCATCCAAAAGCATACAGTAGTAAGTACATGAGAAGAAATTCCTTACCTGTCTTCTTCCAACAAAGTAGTCGTACAGCAGAAAGACAAAACTTGTGAAAACAAAGATGGCAATGATCACCCCAGTGTATAGAAATCGTTTCGCGGTGTGGAAAGTTTCCTCGAATTGTTCGGTTGGGTAGAGATGAAGTGAAAGTTTGGGGATGCACTGACCACTGGGAATGCTTGACGATTCTATATCAAGGTCCACGAGAATGGATGTCACTTCAAGAGCGTCATATTGGGGATCATGTGCATCGTACTCGCCCAGATAAGTAGCTTCTTGTCCATTGATCTCGTAGCTGACAACAGTCACCTCTTCTTCCCTGAAAGTCTCTTCATTATTCAAATTGTAAGTTGGGCAACTGTTCACGAGAACAAGTGTAATTGAATCAGTTTCGTCGGTGAAGAAGCTCTCGAAGTACTTCGTCCATTCCATCGTCAACCAGACCCCTCCAACCATTTCCCTGTCTTCTGCTCTTGTATCAGTTGTGTCAAATATGGGTTGCATGATCTGACTCGAAACGATTGGTAGAGATGATCCGCCACCCTCTTCTATCAGTATCTCAGAAAAGCCGATTGTAGTATTCAAGGTAGCATTCGTCAGAAAGAAGATGTCGCTGAATTGTTTGAATGCCATCAAATCAATATTTGTGTAGGTGCGTTGTGTTGTTGGATCGATCGCGAATGGATAGCTCTGCCACACAGGCAAGGCCGTATCTTGTGATGGGACGAGACTATAGGTTTCCATGTCATATTGGAAAATCAACGGAGTAGTCTTGCTCATGAGTTCAGCAATAGTCATGTTGAAGCCTTCCGTGTCAATAGCGTCTTGGTAAATCTTTGGAGCATCCTCCATAGTATGGGATGTCCATTGCCCAATGTCAGCAGGCTTGACTACAGGACAGAAGGCCATGGTAGCTCCAGGTACGCCGATGAGCTCTCCCAAAGCCAGAGCCTTCCTCGACCAATCACTGATTGTGACAAAAGGCCACGCTTGGTCTGTTGCTTTCGCTTCTGACGCAACGCTAATCGAGAATGAGTTCAAGGCGTTGAAAAGTTGATCCGTTTTCTGCTTTGTCACGGCCACAATTTCATCAGATTGACTTCGGAACTGAAAATGAAAAGACAACATGCAAAGTGAGAGCTTGAACAGCTGGCAGAAGGGGTAATCGAATCATTGACGAATGAATCAATCACTTACTTTATCTTCAAAGTCATTTCGCTCTTGCTGCTCAACAAAAAGATATGTTACAGCAGCAGTTGCACAGGCTGCAAGGAACAGGAACAATGCCACCAAAAGTTTTGATCGATTTACAGCCTTCTGCTCTCGAATTGCAACATGATCAAGGTTCCTAGCGGGCGAATCGGCCTTTCTTTTGTGGTTGAACTCATCCGAGGAGGATTTGAAACCTGATTCTGAAGTAGCCGACATGTTACCATGGGACTGGCCGCTTCTACTGTTATCTTCTGATGCGGTCTGATGCTTCATGGTGCGAGGAGATTGCGTTTGTGAGAGATTTTGAGGTCGTTTTTTTTTATCGACTGAGGATGGGGGCATAAAGAGTGCCAAAAACAAAGCCTTTCTGATCAAACATATATTGGTAGCGCTGCATAATACTTACTTTAGACCCTCGTTCCTCAGAAGTCGAAACTACATACATTTAAAATAAAAGAACCGAGCAGGGACCGAAGTGTTCCGTTTTCCACATTCGCCATACTCTAACGTAGACGAAAGCTCGAGAACGAATCATTGGATTCCTTTCATCATACTGACGACGGTCGAACGACCGTCACAATAGCATTGCTCAGCAACACCAAGTCCGATCAGTTTATCGAACTTGTGTGCGAGTATACGTCAAGAAATAAGGTTTATTTCTTTCTTTCCCTCCCTCCACATCCCTGTTGGGCCTTACATCGACGCATTCTACGTCTCTGTAAGGCCTAGTAGGCAAGCAAGTCTTTGATATTCCGCTTCGCGGAATATCAAATTATGCAATACGAATATAGCTATGTTTCTTCCTGTACTCGTATATCCAGCTTCCCTAAAACCGAAAGTTGCTCCATCGCACTTTCTCGTTTGAATATTCGTTCAATGCAGAACTACAGCTAATATGACAGCGCGAACGATGCGGGCCAAACACGAAAGCATTGTGATGAATCTCATGACAAATCAAATACATTCCCTCTGCTACCCCTTCAGATATTTTAAAAAGCAATGTTATAGCATACAATGGTTTACTTTCCCCCCTCACTCGTCTTGGCCTTGTAGTTTTCCAGAAACTGATTCACGAGCTCTTCACCGTCTCGCACCCATTCGTCCCGATTCGCCATAGCATAGTTCAAATACTCGTGAGATGATACCCCAAACACACCACAGTCGTCCAGCTTCTTCGCCAAAGGAATCACATAGAAATCAAAGAAACCAATTTCTCCCTTGTACCAGTTGATGCTTGGATCAACATCCGCTCGACCAGACTTGTAGGCTTTGTAGCATTCGCAAAAGAACTTTTCGTTCCAGCTTTTGTAAATATGCCAATGCTGCATTGTGTGCACAACATCTGATGCTTGGATCAAGTGCTCAATCACAATAGTGGCCTTTCGATCCTCGCTGTCATCATCACTTCGCAGATTGGAAACGTCCGAGGAGAAGGCCGTTTCCCATCTCGCCTTGCGTAGCTCCTGAAGTTCCATATCAACAATATCAGTCGCCATGACTGTATTCACCACCAGTTGGCGGAAACGGCACAACTCTCCTTCAGTTTGATAGATGCAGCTTCGCAATAATTCATACTCTTTCTCCATCAGAATCTTCCATGCAATGTCGACGCTATTCTGTTCCGCAACAGACTTGTTCTTGTACAGCTCTGCATTCGGAGCGCCTTCCTTCACCAACTGGGTGTTTGGTACACCTGGATGATCCACGTCATGAATGATGGCAGCAAACACGACAGCAAACTGGGTCAGCGGATCGGAAGTGATACCGTAGGAATGACCGGCCAAGTCGACCATGTTGACTTCGCTGCTCGCATTCGGCTGGGTGAGTCCATTCTCAGGGTCAACGTTCACGATGCGTTTGAGTAGTTTCTTCACTGATGACGTAACATGACTGATAAGATACAATATATAAAGGCGCAGATACAGTGAGGTCATGAAGTAAAATTGCTGACAGTCATATTCGAACCAATGCCAATCGTACTCACCTAGCATGCTCAAAGTTGTGGAATGGATTGCTATCTGTGTACATCTGAGCAATATTCGCGAGGAAGCTTCGTAGCTCTGATTTCACATCATCCCCAATAGCAATCTCACTCATTGGGCTTTGCCGAGGGTCAACTGAATCATTGTCTAGTCTCTTCAAATGAATGATGGGTACGAACTCCTCCAATATGGTTTGTCCAGAACGAATGTTGGATTCGGCAACCTCTAGAGGTTTGATGCTCTTTCGAGATCCCCCTCTCGAGATCACAATTTGCTGCAGCAATGACATGAGCACTTCAACATTCCATTCAACGAGGCGTTGTGTTTTGTTCATACTATCCACGCCGTTCATGTCAAAAAGGTCATCCGCCCTGTCAGAAGCACTGAAGGAGGAGTCGGCCGTTTCTTCTTCGCTAATCGTCGATTCGATTCGATGAGCAGTATCCATTGCTCTGACGCGCTTCGAATTCGTTGAACGAAGCCAGTAGGTTTGCATTTCGCCCTTGCCTTTGACGAATGTCTTTTCTGCACGTGGTATGATCATGTTTTCAAAGCCACCCTCCTTCAGCAAGTCGGCAGTGGCCGCTGTGATCTGAATGCAGTTTGCCCTTCCGGTACTCTCCATACGAGCCGCTGTGTTCATCGTGTCTCCAAATAGCTGGAAGCGGCTGCGTTCACCTCGCAATACACCAGCTGTAACTTGACCACTGGTACAAAGAGTATTGTAAGTCTTGGCACTTTGATTGTTTAATGGCCCATAGTCTTCTTGACTTACCTGTGGATACCAACTCTTAGTTTCAAGTCCGATGTATCTGGACCAAGAGATACTTCGAGTTTCAATGTAATCTCTTTCATCTTCTTCAAGCAGTCGCGAGCGAATTTACACGCCGTCACTATATATTTCATGAAAAGCAGCAAATAAGTTGTGAGCACAAATTGTTTACCAATTGGTTTGAAAGGCGAGTGGTGAAATATGGAGCAAGAGCTCGTCCAGCAGACCTTTTTTCCGATACACTGAATATTTACACTCACCGGCATGCTCTTTCATTGGTTCTGGTACACCAGTTGCTGCAACATAGGAGTCGCCAACCGTCTCGACTTTAAACACATTATGTCGATACGCCACTCTGTCAAACGTCGCATAGATAGTCTCAAGCAACGTGAAGACTTGCTGAGGTTCTCGGGCAGATGACCACGCCGTGAAACCAGAAATGTCAGCAAAAATAATGGTTGTGTTGGGAAATAAGTCTGCCATCGGTGCTCCATTGGTGACTTTGTCGGCCTCGCAGTCGTTGTCAAACCCGTCAACGAAATTTCCACCAGGTCGCCCCGATTTTCCCATGCCATCGTATAGCCGATTCCGAATAGCTGTGGGGAAAACATTTGCCACAAGTTGGTCTTGCATGATGATGCGATCCATGACTTTTCTCTGTTTATATAGTAGTTCGCATTAGAAAGGCATCCAAAAGCATACAGTAGTAAGTACATGAGAAGAAATTCCTTACCTGTCTTCTTCCAACAAAGTAGTCGTACAGCAGAAAGACAAAACTTGTGAAAACAAAGATGGCAATGATCACCCCAGTGTATAGAAATCGTTTCGCGGTGTGGAAAGTTTCCTCGAATTGTTCGGTTGGGTAGAGATGAAGTGAAAGTTTGGGGATGCACTGACCACTGGGAATGCTTGACGATTCTATATCAAGGTCCACGAGAATGGATGTCACTTCAAGAGCGTCATATTGGGGATCATGTGCATCGTACTCGCCCAGATAAGTAGCTTCTTGTCCATTGATCTCGTAGCTGACAACAGTCACCTCTTCTTCCCTGAAAGTCTCTTCATTATTCAAATTGTAAGTTGGGCAACTGTTCACGAGAACAAGTGTAATTGAATCAGTTTCGTCGGTGAAGAAGCTCTCGAAGTACTTCGTCCATTCCATCGTCAACCAGACCCCTCCAACCATTTCCCTGTCTTCTGCTCTTGTATCAGTTGTGTCAAATATGGGTTGCATGATCTGACTCGAAACGATTGGTAGAGATGATCCGCCACCCTTCTCTATTAGCATCTCAGAAAAGCCGATGGTAGTATTTAAGGTAGCATTCGTCAGAAAGAAGATGTCGCTGAATTGTTTGAATGCCATCATATCAATATTTGTGTAGGTGCGTTGTGTCGTTGGTTCCATCGCGAATGGATAGCTCTGCCACACAGGCAAGGCCGTATCTTGTGATGGGATGAGACTATAGGTTTCCATGTCATATTGGAAAATCAACGGAGTAGTCTTGGTCATGAGTTCAGCAATAGTCATGTTGAAGCCTTCAGTGTCAATAGCGTCTTGGTAAATCTTTGGAGCATCCTCCATAGTATGGGATGTCCATTGCCCAATGTCAGCAGGCTTGACTACAGGACAGAAGGCAATGGTGGCTCCAGGTACACCGATGAGCTCTCCCAAAGCCAGAGCCTTCCTCGACCAATCACTGATTGTGACAAAAGGCCACGCTTGGTCTGTTGCTTTCGCTTCTGACGCAACGCTAATCGAGAATGAGTTCAAGGCGTTGAAAAGTTGATCCGTTTTCTGCTTTGTCACGGCCGCAATTTCATGCGATTGACTTCGGAACTGAAAATGAAAAGACAACATGCAAAGTGAGAGCTTGAAAAGATGGCAGAAGGGATAATCGAATGATTGACGAATCAATCACTTACCTGATCTTCAAAGTCGTTTCGCTCTTGCTGCTCGACAAACAGGTAGGTTGCAGCGGCGGTTGCACAGGCCGCAAGGAACAGGAACAATGCCACCAAGAGTTTTGATCGATTTACAGCCTTGTGTTCTCGCATTGCAACATAATCAAGGTTCCTAGTGGGTGAATCGGCCTTTCTTTTGAGGTTGAACTCATCCGAAGAAGAATTGAAACCTGATTCTGAAACATACGTGGAGTTGCCATGGGATTGGCCGCTTCTACTGTTGTCTTCTGATGCGTACTGATCCTTCATATTACGCAGAGATTATTGTTTTGTGAGGGTTCAGAGGACGGGTCGTATCAAAAGGTGTCAAAATCAAATTCTTCGAATGGGAGACATATTGGTTGCTGGATTGTGGGCGGTACTATTCAATGACTGGAAACTACGAAAACATTTAATAGTTTGTGACTGTTTTATTCCTCTATCCGAAAGTTTAGCCGAAATGGTGTTTCTGACCTTACAAAGTAAAACAAGGGCAGTCATTCTCTGGCATCACCATTGCCTGCACTCATTTTACCAGTCGGGGGTACCCTGGTACCAGGTACCGGTAGGGGCCGGCTCTGAGATTTGCATCACTCCTAATAAGCGTTTCGTACCAGGTCGTACCTCTTTTACACGAATAAGTTCGCGAGAAGATTGATTCCGCCAAACACCAGCGTTCGTTTTGCCAATTATCGAGCAAATGCATTTATTAAAATACTTAGCCACAAATGGATAAAAGAAATTCGCGGAGGTATTGCCGGCCCGGTTTGGGACCCCTACAGTACACGTGTATGAGAAAGCGTTGCCATCATCGTGTTGTACAGTAGTACCGTTATCGTGCTTTCCAGCACTTTCTATAAATCCGCTGCGCACAGTGGTACCCTGGTACGGGTAGCCGATCGGGTCTTGGGGTGGACTGCTTTCGATTGTCCACGTGAACCGGTACGAGTAATGTATGTATTATACAGGTTTCACTGTTTAAATTACGAGCGATCGAACATATAGGCTGCTTTTACCCCCTCCTGTATCCCCTACTCTATCTTTAGATGCTATCACCAGTGTTCTAACCTCTACTAACTTGTTCTTTCCACTCACCTGTTTTGTTTTGTAGGTTTTCCAGAAAATTGCTTCACAATCTCGCGTCCTGATTCGCCGTGGTTGCAAGCGTAAACACAGTACAAAAACTCGGCCGTGCGATGATGATGGTTCGTACCCGAAACACGGCAAAGGCATCTATCTGCCTTCTTCGCCAAGAAAGGAATCACAAAAAATTAAAAGAAATCGATTTCTCCTCTGTGCCAGTCGATATTTGGGTCAATGTCCGCCCGGCCAGACTTGTATGATTTCTACGGTACCTAGTACAGTCTTTGTTCGTTTCTTCACATTCTAAAAGAGGTCTTTGTCAGTACATTTGCAAATCATCGTGAACTTCCTTCAGTGCTTTTCAACAATCGGCAAGCAACCTATTATTGATGCACTCATTCGAGGGATAACTGACCATCGGCTGATGATTCGTGCATGATGGTGATGATTATTATGATGCACCATGATTATAGTTTTCAGAAATCCTCAGGTGACGGATATGAAAGATCTGGATGTGACTGATGATGCGCTCCAACACACATCATGATGATTCATCACGGCAGTTTTCAGATATCCTCAGATGACTGATGTGAGAGATCTTCGTGTCTCGTGTCTCTCTCATTCTTTCAAAGATCGGTGACTCGCATGGTTGTGGTGGTCACTGAATGAATTATTCCTCCACCTTCATCTTACTTCTTATTTTTCTTCCTCCTTTTGAACAAACGCTTGATTCGATTGATGGTGGATAGCTTTTCTTTTCCATGCCATTCCTTTCGAGTCTCCGACAAAATCTTTTTGGCATGTTTCGCATCATTTTTTGCCAATCGAATCGATTCCTGAATGGAATCTTGCGAAGCCTTTCTTGAAAGTTCCGCAATCGCCTCCGGATCAGCAGCCTGCTTATGCTTTGCAACCACTGTATGCACTAGTCTCTGAACCTTTAAATACCGTTCCTGAATGGCAGTGGATTCCACAATCTCCAACCCACGACTGCAATCTTCGCCATCATCATCATCACATTCCTCCAATCGTTTGGCCAAGTTGGTAGCTCTGCGTCGCATAAAGAAGTACTCATTCCCAGTGTACCACCGAACGTCTTCCTTGGTTGCTTCGTCTTTTCGGTGAATTGGTTCCACCTTGCCATGAAACATGACCGTCTTAGCGGGTCCACTTCGAGGGGACACCTTCCCGTCAAACATGACAGCTTTGGGTCCTTCATTTCGAGGCAATACCACGTTTCCTTTGGGAACTGCCATCTTCCTTTGTCTTATTTTGTAGCTTCTTTTGCTGTCAATCGCATTTGATGTGCCTTTTTGCAGTCATCATGCCAGATACCAGCTACTGTAGCTCATCAGTATCAATAATTCTTTCCAAATTGCGGAAGCTGCAAGTCTGTCAATCATCGCAAAGCGTGTCCATGTATGTACATACCGGTATATTGAATATAATATATATGCGCGCATGGACGTCGACGACGGAAGGCAATAAGCAATAAAAATGAACGAATGAATGAATCAATCGACGGACCCATTCGACTTCTCAAATACTCGACGTGGTGTTCAACGTTGAAGGGATATCCATCTTCAATAATCTGCCATCTGGGGCAATCTGCTACCGACACAAACGTTGTACTGTAGGTACGCAGAGGTTGCAATCTCCATCGCATCTTGCATACACATATATAAATATATAAATACATAAAGTTGCAGCACAAAACGTTAAAACGTTGGAACAATCTATCGAACGAAACGACAAAAACTTCTTGAAGCCAACTACTGTGACAATGAGATTTCAGATTATGGATGAATCGTCACTGACGTTGTTGCTGCTCTTGGGAGTATCTTCAATATTGACCACAAGCTATGGTTTCCAATCATCAACACCAAGTCCTCTTTCACGACAATCGGTTTCGGCACCCCCAACAATTCCCGTTTCCTCCTCCTTTTCGTCGTCGTCGCTTCTTTTGGCATCCGAAACGCAAGATGATACTTCTGCTGCTGCAGAACGAAATCTAAATGACGACAACGACAGCAATATTTTGGAAGATGCCGATGGATTGGGGCAGGTTTTGGTCGCGGATGCAATCAACTTGGAAGACAACGAGGATCTCATGGTGCAACTAATGATCGATGTCGGAGAAGAAGCTGAAAAGGCTAGTCAAGAGATTATGGACGATTCTTGTGAAGTGGACGTCGACGAGAATGGTAATATCATTGTAGACGAATTGTGTGTCGATGAAGAAGCCAAGAGCGGATTCCGTGCCAAGTTGAAAAAGACCATTGGCAAGACGCTGCAGATGGTCCGTGGAATGCCAGCAGAACAAGAAGAGGAGGAAGTCGAAGAATTGGCCGCTGGCGATATTCTAGAGGCCGGATGGTCCAAACGTGGAGGATCCTCGGCCCTCCGCCGAAATGCCGAAGTTTGGAAGTTTGCCCTCAACTGTGTCTTTCGTGTGCTCAAGCCACGTTCCATGCGCAAGAAGGGAGCCTCCGAGGAAGAGATCCAACAAGCTCAAATTGATGCGGCCACCTTCATCCGTGACGGATTGGTCAAGTTGGGTCCCACCTTTGTCAAGCTTGGTCAAGTCATTTCCACAAGAAGTGATGTGCTACCAAAAACCTTTATTGATGTCCTAAAGACCCTTCAAGATGATGTTCCAGCCTTTGCCGGTGAACGGGCCAAGGAAATTGTTTCGGCCGAACTTGGACGTCCCTTTGATGAAATCTTTACCGACTTTTCGGATGAACCCCTAAAGGCTGCTAGTCTCGGTCAAGTACACACTGCCAAGTACAAGGGACAAATGGTTGCCATTAAGGTGCAACGAGCTGGATTGAAGGAACTCTTTGATGTCGATTTGAAGAATCTCAAAAAGCTTGCCGTCCTATTGGATAAGTTCGACCCCAAGACGGACGGAGCCGATCGCGACTGGGTCAGCATTTACGAAGAATCCGAGCGTCTATTGTATCTGGAAATTGATTACCTCAATGAGGCAGACAATGGTGAACGCTTTGCCAAGGACTTTCGGGACGTTTCGTATGTCCGAGTTCCTCGCTTTTATCGAGAACTGTCAACACCTCGTGTTTTGACCATGGAGTTTGTGGAATCCTTCAAGTTGACTGACATTGACCGTATTGAAAACATTGGTTTGGACCGAAAGGTTTTGGCCAAGCGCACAGCAGATGCCTTTCTTCGCCAAATTGTAGAAACCTCTTACTTTCATTGCGACCCACATCCGGTAAGTGCCTCCTAGTAGGTGTATTGAATCAATCGCGATTGCAAACTCATGTAATGTTTGCCTCTCTTCCTTGACTTTTGTTGGATAGGGAAACCTGTGTGTCGATGACAAGGGAAATTTGGTATACTATGATTTTGGCATGATGGATGAATTGAAGCCCAATGTCCGCGAAGGATTCCGAACTTTTTGTTCGGCGCTCTTTGCGGGAGGTCCCATGATCAGTGATGCCGAGCTGGCCAAGAATGCCAAGAAGCTAGTTGACGGAGTGGAACAGGCCGGTGTGTTGGCCCGTGGTGCGGATCGCTTGGCCGTGGAAAAGCTGGCTCGTTTCTTCATGCGCAGCTTCAAGGACAACCAATTGGGAAAGAAGGGTTCCAACATTAAGGAAACCTTGGGAACGGACCTTCAAACCTTGACCGAGAATGATGTGTTCCGTTTCCCCAGTACATTCACCTTTATCTTCCGTGCCTTTGCCAGTGTCGAAGGTATTGGAAAGGGTTTGGACAGCGACTATGATATTGGAAAGCTAGCTCAGCCCTTCATTGAAAAGTTCACTGACGCCCAAAAAAATTATTCGAGTGAAGCCGACAAGAACTTGTCCATTTTCCGCAAGGCAACAGGTCTGAATAAGGAAGACATCGAGACCGCAGTTACATCTCCAAGAAAGATTGCTTACATTGAAGAAACACTTCGTTCCATGGAAGCTGGTGGGCTCAAGATCCGAGTCCGATCCTTGGAAAACGAGAAGGCTCTGGAACGAATGGCTCTCACCCAAGCCCGAACGGAGCAACTTCTCTTGGCAACCATGGCTTTGAACTTTGCTGGTTTTGCCACTAGAGCTGTAGCCAGCTATGGTGGGTATGCTGGTTTTGCCTTTTTTGCCATTCAAGCTTTCATGGCAAACACAAAGGTGAAAAAGTTTGACAAGACACAAGCAAAGTTCGTCCAAACGAAGTTTGAAGGGGATGAGTAAACGACAATAAGTTTACAAATGGCTTCATTAATGTATAATATGTTATTACTTTTACAACAATTTCGTTCTTGGTGGGTCTGGATGCTAGCAAAGGCGCTATGTCGCTGCAACGTAATCGCTTGGATCGCCACAACACAGGTGACAGCAGCACAAGCAGAATAAGCAGTTCAGCAGGTTGCAAGCACCACACCCAATTTTCGCGAGACAGCTTAGCAGGCAAGAGAGGACCAAAAAAATGATGCCGGCTAGGATCCAATCCTCCGTCGTCCATTCCGTGATTGGTGTGCTGAACAACTCTTGCGGCCGTTGAGTGTATTCGTCAATGTTGATGTTGTCCGTGTTGAAATTGTCCGTGTTCCATCCGCCCTCGCCCTCGTTTAGATTTCTTGAGACGATTGGGACACCAGGGCTTTCTGCTGTCTCTTGAATTTTGCTGCCACTCCTTATTCTAAGGTTGGTTCTTTTATTTTGCTCCTTGTCCTCAGCAGCATGATCCAGCATTGGCAGAGCGTTCTTCTTAGTGGAAGCAGATGCATATTGCAGCAAACACATTATCAATAGAATGAATGTTTGTAGAATTCTCATAATAACTTCTTCCAGCTCGATTGGTTTGTGTTCACTTGCTTTCTTCTTCCCTTTACTTGTACTCTCTTGTATCTCATAGTATCGTTCGTTCCTGCCTTTCTCGCATTTCACCTATTATTCATCCTCCAACGGAAACTCACGACTGCAGTATTCGTGATTCATTTTAATAGTTGACTAATACGACCAATCACCATGATGACGTCAACACGCGGAAAGGCGTATCAAATATCTTCAACCTTTCCTCTCAATTATTATTCTGTGCAAAAATCCACCCGCCTCCCGTGAGATATCAGAAGCAACACAACTGAGACTCTTGCTGAAGTCCAGATACAGTAGGATTGCATTGACAAAAGTGGTGAAGTGAGACGACAACCATTCCGTTTTCACTAAGATCCCTCCTCCAGCAAGAAAGAATAATTAAAAAGCAATAGAGAAGGATGAGAGCGAGGAGGCCAGAACAAGAAGCATCACGGCGACGAAGAGCGGAGGCATCATCATTGCTATCTGCTGTCGTTTTGGTGATATGTTTGGTCCAGACCCAAGCGTTGTCCATGTCATTGATGGGTTCAAATAATAAGGGTGTCACAGTCATTGCTGGAGCGACTGGTTACATTGGAAAGAGTGCCGTTCGTGAAAGCGTCCGTCAAGGATACAAAACTTTTGCCTTGATACGGGATCGAAAGAAGATCGAGTCGAAGGAAGGAAAACGATTATACGGGGATTACTTCGACGGCGCCCAAGTGGTAGAGGTCGATGTTGCGGATGAAGAAAGGCTATTACAGGTGCGGAAGTGGAGTGAAATGAAAGAATGAATTATGTGAATTGGATCCATTCATCTTCTTATGGATCAGAATTCCATAGTCTGACTTGTTTCGTATCTTTTTTCTCTCTGTTCAGGTCATTTCGGAAATCAAGGAAACCGAGGGTGAAATCGATTCGGTGGTGTCTTGCTTGGCATCACGGTCTGGAATCAAACGAGAAGCTTACAATATAGATTATCAGGCCACGCTGAATTGTTTGAATGCCGGTATGGAAAACGATGCCAAACATTTTGTCCTCCTCAGTGCCATTTGCGTGCGCAAGCCACTCCTACACTTTCAACGGGCCAAACTAAAGTTCGAAGCCGCATTACAAGCACAAGATAAGTTGAAATATAGTATCGTCCGGCCGACGGCATTTTTCAAGTCAGTGTCCGGGCAGTTGGAACGATTGCAAGAGGGCAAGTCGTTCTTGATGTTCCAAGACTCCACTCGGGCGAATCCTATCGCCGAGTCCGACCTTGCGACATATCTGATCGATTGCATTGCTGACGAGAGTAGACACAACAAAGTTCTCAATCTTGGAGGTCCAGACAAGGCCATGACAAAGTTGGAACAAGGTGAAGTAAGTACTATGCTGGATTGAGCGGTGAATGAATGAATCAATTGCCATTAGGCTCACACTACTGTCTCCCGTTGCCAGATGATGTTCCGATCCGTATCCAAGGAACCAAAGTATAGTCGATTACCGGTCGGGATATTTGATGTATCCATCAATGCGCTCCAGTGGCTGGCTGATGTCTTCCAAAATGAAAGCCTTGAAAATGCTGCCGAACTGGGAAGGATAGGCAAATATTATGCTGTCGAGGATATGGTGACAACCGAACCTACAGAAATGTACGGCACCATTACCCTCCAAGAGCACTTTGACCGTATCGCCAAAGAGGGACAAGAATACGACCCCTACACAACCATGACTGGAATTATAGGTCTGATCGGCAAAGATGGCGAAGAACAGAACAATGGAGCAGTGTCAACATCTGACAGCCTGCAACCAACCTCAATTTTGGAAAAAGAAACCGTCGGCGTATAAAATAAAGATATTGGATTTTAGATTCTCATCTGTGCCACCGCTATTATATGACCTGAGGCTTGAGGGTTTCTAAATTGTACTGTAGTTTGGAGTAGACATTTTCAGTATTTTGGATAATGGCCGAGACAAGATTTACTGCTCTAGAGTGACATTATTAATGCCACTACGACCCTCATTCAATATCTAGTCATCACTACTAATGTTACAGATCGTCTTTACTCGATTCAGGAAGTCGTTTCCTTCATGCCATATGTACAGTCGGGTAGGCTTGTTTGTTTGTCTGTTTGTTCCTTTGTTATACCACAAGCAAGCAACTTATGCAGTGGCAGGATCTTCTTCCTCTTGATCGTATTCCGACTTCATGGCTTCGGTGAGTGCTTCCCCACCATTCCTTCTCCTACGCACCTCGTCTCGTCGATCCTTGAATCGCGAAATGTATTCAGGATTGACGTCTTCCTCACTCGAAAGAATCAATCCACCATGATAACTAGTATCCAAACCAACAATTTCTTCGAGAGGGTCCGAACGGAACCATCCTCTCCAGTCCAGCCAAATAAAGAAGGGCAACATGGTCACCAAGACCCACCCAACCACAAAGAGACCACCGACAATTTGGGCAGCCAACAAATGAGCATCGCTATGGCCATGGTACCACGAATAAAAGAGTCCATAATGTGGCATTTCCTTGCCATAGGCCAAATTCAATTTGCGAGGAGACGCAAAGAGTCCGACTGCAACCAATCCAAAAAGACCATTGAACATGTGGACGGGGATCGCATCGACGGCATCGTCCAAGCGCATTTTGATGAGCCAATTGGTACCAAATAGGTACAAGAGCCCAGCCAGAGCTCCAATGATAACCGCTGCCCAAGGTTCGACCATTCCACATCCCGAGGTAATGGCCACGAGTCCAGAAAGTGATCCATTCATGGCCACAACCAAATCAAAAACTGGTTCACCAGTGGCACGTTCGAGAGCATAGTAATTGGCAAAGAGGGACATCAATCCCGCCATGCCACCCGAAAGGGTAGTATTGACGGCAGCAACGGCCATCAAGTTATGAATTTCAGGCGAGTTGGTGATCAACGCCGAACCGGCATTGAATCCGTACCAGCCGAACCACAGAGTCATGGTACCCAGCATCTAACAAACGTGAAGAAAACGATTTGTGTGTGTGTGTGTGAGAGAGAGAGAGAGAGAGATAGAAATGTTGTGAAAATCATGCAGTATACATATTGCCACAAAGAGCCAATTCTCTTGCTTACCTGCAAAGCAATCGAGTGTCCTGGGAATTCCTTGGGCTTGTCTAATTTGCGTCCCTGTTCATCATGAAAGCGTCCTCGTCGGGGTCCCAAAATCATAGTTGCAAAGAGTGCGGTAGTACCACCGGTGCAGTGCACCACACCACCACCGGCAAAATCGAGACACCCCGTACCCAAGAATGGATCGGCCGAAAAGGCACTGAGAAATCCATGACCGGACCAAATGGCATGGACTACTACTGGGTAGACCAAACCTGCCAACATGAGGGAATAACAGAGATAGGCAGCCATTTGACAACGTTCGGCTAAAGTACCAGCCACAATGGTAGCCGAAGCCGCCGAAAAGGCATACTGGAATAGGAAAAAGGCATAATCGTCGACATCCAGCAGTAGAAAATTGGTAGTGCCGATGAAGGAATTTGGATTGGATCCGTCGCCATAGGCAAAGGCATATCCAAAGGCAAAAAAGGCAATGGATGCTCCGCACTATAGTATAGTGAATAAAAATAGAACGAGGAAATTGTGAGCTGCTTTTCATTTTGTAACAGAGGAGAAGGTCATGCCATGACAAAAGCAGTAGTAGCAACGGCAGAAGCAGCAGCCACCCAGAATGACTGTCTGAAGTTTTACAACGTACCGCATCGAGTAGATTCTTGAGCATGGTATTCTGAACATTCTTCTTCCGCACCGCACCTGCACAGAGCATGGCAAAGCCAGCTTGCATGTAAAAGACGAGGGCAGCACTGATGACCAAAAAGATGGTCCTTGAGAACTCTCGATCAGAACTGTCTTGAATCAGCAGTTGTGTGGTAATGCACTTGAGAATCTCTTCATCACTCTGAGAGACGGAAGCACACGCCTCGTAGATCTGTGAGGACGATGCCATTACGCTGGGATGAGTATTTGTAGTAATGTTGCGGTAGGCAAAGATGTTGGTTGACAGCTCTAAGCTCGTCGTTCGTAAAAGACTTCGACCATCCATTCTTCTCGATACCTGGCAAAAGGAGATTACAAACTTCCTCGCAAATCAAAGGAAGAAAGAGAGACTAATAAAAACACTGGGGAGCAGAAATGGAGGGTTGAAAAAAGCACAGCCAAGCAGTATTTTTAAAAGCTTCGCGGTAGTCAAAATGACTGTGGAACAGAGGTCGACGGAACGACAGTTGAACTTTCACTTATCAATGCGAGAAAATTGGGGGCGGAAAGACTTCCTAATTCTTGCTCATAATTAAATTATTTTAAATCAAGTGAAATGCCAGTTCTTTGATAATTCGGTGGGGAGTAAACAGTATGCAATTCGAAAACAATTGAAAAGACAAAAAGCTCACCGACGGAATTGTGCCAATTAAATTCCTTAAGGTTGACATTGAACGTGACTTTTAAAATGGGAATTAAGGGACATAAATAAAAAGCCAAAGTGTGCGAATATTCTGTTCGAAGAAACAGTGCACGCACGATGGGAGCAGTTTGAGGTTCGGACTGTTACAGTACCTGGTAGCAGTAGATCTTGATGCCGTTCATCAGAATCTTCTGATGCCGTTCATCAGAATCTTCTGATGCCGTTCATCAGAATCTTCTGATGCCGTAGATGGCTTGGTCGGCACTGAAAAGCCGATTGATTGGATGATGATAGATGATTAATTTATTCTTTCATTCCTTTGACTGTTAACACGTTTGTCTTGTTAGTACTTCGTGGTCAGCCATTCTACTAGCAGTATTGCTTTATTGATTATTTACTACGAGTACTATAATGATCATAGTTACTAGTAGTAGTACTACTGGTGGTGGCTGCCACCATGATGTATCGTCCTGGCTCGCTTGGCTGCCGGTTGTTGGGGATGGTTCCCTTCCCATTGCTTGAGGTACATTTTGCCCGCTTGAATGCGCAGCCACCGTCCATGGAGTTCTTGCCCGTCCAGTTCAATCGCCTTGGCCACGGCTTTGGGAGAGGAAAACCAAACTCCACAATATCCCTTGGATCGTCCACTATCTTCAAAGATTGGAAAGGTGATATCTTGGATTTGACCACATCCTTCAAAGAATTTTCGAATGTCTTGTTCGGTCGTTTCGTAATTCAAACCAAAGACTCGTACCGACAAGGGTTGCTTTTCCTTTTGGGTTTTGTTATTGTCGTCGCTACCAAGAGCAATCTTTTTCTTTTTGGCCTGTTTCAAAAGAGCCTTCTTTTGGAGTTGTGGATCATGTTTGTAGGGGCACTTATCTCCCTTTCGACATTTTCCCTTGGTTTTCCAATTGATGCAATCCTTTTCTGATTTGGGAATTTCTTTTTTGCTTTCGGCAGCATTTCCTGCTGTCTCATCGTCTACGATAACAGCAGTAGGCTTGACAACGACATTTTCATGAGAAAAGGGACAAGCGTCACCCTTGTCGCACTTGCCCTTTTTAAAGGCAAAACATTTGCCCTTCTTTCTCTTGGCTCGTGCGGCATCATCAATGACGTGACAAGAAGAAGGCAATGTCCCGCCTTCTCCCACATGTTCAAATTTGCATTCGTCGCCATAGGGGCATCGATATTGAGACCATAGGTAGCAAAGATTCATCTCTTTGTCGTTTTGTGCATATGGTCTTAGATAGATCTTGTGCATCTTTTTGGAAGTAGGCTTTCGACCACCCTTGATTTGTTCTAGTTTCAAGGCTGCTTCCTGAGTTTCTTGCGTTTTGAAGGTGACGAACCCAAATCCCCGATGAGTCTTTCCTTCGTCCTTTTTGTAAGGACTATCGTCTAGTTTGTGATCTCCTCCTTCCCCTTTTTCTTCTTCATCTTCTTCGCGTGGAAGAATTAGTTCCACCTTGGAAATAGCATCACTTCCAAGCTTTTCGGACAAAATCCGTTCCACAATTTCTTCGGTAAATTTGGTGGGCACTCGGGAAATGTGAATCTTGAAGCCTGGCTCTTCTTCTCCTTCTTGGTGATGATCTCCTCCATTGTTATCTTCTTCTTTGTCATTATAGTGAGAGGGAGCCATGGTACCAGTAGTTTCTGTCAGGAATCACAGCTTCTTGTCCTGAAACTGGATTTGGTATCTTGTCCGTGTGATTTGTCGATTATTGGTGGTCTTTGTTGGAAAGGAAGAAGGACGGACCATGATGGTCGAAGAGGTCAATGGTCTGAGGAATGCTCTGCATCTCGCATCGTTTGTTTTCGAAACACAAAACCAAACCATTATATTGTAACACACTTCGCAAAACGACGGTGTCAATCATCCATTTTCACGATACAAAAAGAGTCAGTCTGGTCTGTTGAATATAAATTCAATTTCTATTTGCCACACTAGGATTATACTTCCACACACACGCACAAAAGAGAATAATAATAATATTCTAAATAAACAATGCAAGGACTACCACACAGCTGTGACGGCCACACCCACGACACGGAAGATGATGATTTGGGACAATCGCTTCGACCTCAGATTGATTTTGCGTTGGTGACTTGCCTCAATGAAGAACTGCCGAATGCTGGAAAGTCCGTTTTGAAGTTGCACGAAGATCGACTGAGCCCAGAACCTTATTTGAAATCCAACGAGGACGATCCGGAACTCTTGTTGCACATTCCGTTTACCGAAGCGGTAACGGTAAAGACGATTGCCTTACGAACCCACGTTCCTGATGGAATTGAAGGGGCAGCGCCTCGAACTCTCAAGTTGTTTACCAATCGAGATGACTTGGATTTTGACACGGCAAGGGACATGGAAGCCCAAGGCACTTTGGAATTAGTCCCACCCGAACATTTTGTAGAAGGAACGATCGATTATCAGCTTCGACCGGGTGGACGCTTTCAGAATATTTCCAGTTTGACCATATTTGTACAAGACAACTTTGAATTTGACAATGCTGATGTCTCCACCTTGTTATCCTATGTGGGAATCAAGGGCCGAGGCAGTGGCCAAAAACGCATGGCAGTCGAGACAGTCTACGAAACGAGGGGTATGAAGAAGGATCACAAGGTCAAGGGAGAATTTGGTGCCCAGCAAATGCTTTAAAATAATGTTATGTATCCATACCATCGTAATACGGGAGTGATCTTGTATTATACATACATGAACAATATTGATTGTTGGGCCTTCTGGTTTGAAAACGAAGCGACTATTTCGAGCGTTTGGCAATGGCCTCATCGATTGTCAGGAGAAGCTGAAAGCCTATCACAGAAAATATCAGAGAATTCAGCCGATCTGAAGGCTTCTTCTATTGCTTTGGTAAAAATGACACTAAAGTACAGTAGCTGAAATATGTTCATAGAAAATGAATGTGCTAAAGTATTATTGTACATTTCGAGGAGTAGAATTCTAATAGAGAGAGCGAGTGCGGTCAGCATCACACGCTGCGATGCGGAGAGGATGTGCAGGGAGGCAAATAGTTTCAATTTTTAAAAGGCTCCAACCATGTCCAAGTCTTGAGTAGCCAAGATGTCATAGACACAGTCCTTGACTTGCTTGGGATCCTTCAAAGTAGAGCATGCCTTTTCGGCTTCTTCCATGCTGACGGATTCTTCGTCCAAACGACGACGGCGATCTCCGCTTGGGTTGTCAGGAAGCATGCACTTTTCAGGGTATTGAGGAGTCTCCAAAGTTTGGAACAACTTAGGGTCGGTGGGGTTGACTTGCCATTCGCTACCAAACTTGTAGTAGTCATCAAAGACACTGACACCATCGCGGCCGATGGTCTCACCAGTGTGGTAGTCACCCAAGAGTCCGACAGTGTTGCCCCAGACTTCCTCCTTGCCTTCCATCTTGATGCGAAGGAATTCCTTGTAGATCTTGATGATAATCTTGGCATTGGGGTATTTGGAACTCAAGTCGATCTCGTAGACAGACTTGGAGCCACTGGTGGCAACATAGGTAATGGGGAATCCACCAATAGTGTCAAGGTCGCCCATGTATTCGTAGTTGACCCAGTACATTGGTTCTCTGGACTTGATGTCGGGGTTACCAACGATTTCCAAGATATCGCTTCCAATGCGGATGGAAACGTTCTTGATGTAAGACCAGAAACGAACCAACTTGGTACGAATGTGAATGTCCAAGCCAGCATTATCGGCAAAGAGTGGATCGTTGACCATGACCATATCGCACTGTCCGTGGTATTCGTAGTGTTCTCCCTTCCAGGTAACAATGTGTGGATCACCTCCAATTTGAGGTTCGGTAGTCTCAACGTGAGTGACTTCGGTGTGGGTGAAGCCTTCAGCGATGGTTCCCAACTCAGTGTCAGAAAGAATATCACCCTCATCGAGAGCGGCGATAATCTCTGCCTTGATAAGTGCTTCCTCGGCAGGTCCCTTCAGAGCGATGTCCACACTGGTGGTACAGTCAGCAGAGGTTCCATCGGCAGAAAGTGTACATTCCACATCTCCAATCTGAGCGTTTCCGACAATACCGGATGGAAGGCCGTTATTCAAGCGTCTCTGTTCCTTGTTGCGGCGGTGGTGACGCTTGGCACGCTTTTGTAAGTGTCTACGGAACCCGCTGCAGTTGATGACGCGTTGGACCACCAAGGCTTGGAGGGCCGCGCGAGCAGTGGCAGCAATGGTCTCAATATTGGTGGAACCTTCGGGCATGGCAAGGTTGAATCCAAAGGTGAATGTCGAGCTGCCCATGAACTTTTGGCCTTCAACCAAACCTCCGTTGTTAATAGATTGACAATCTTCGGCAGTAGCTTCCACGTAGATGGATCCAGTGGAACCAGTTGGACCAGCCACTGGAGCAACAGACGCAAATTGGGCTCTGTAGGCAAATCCCTTGAAGGAGGAGCTAGAAGAGGAGCCTCCGGGAATGCCTCTGGTAGTACCAATGTTGACAGCCACTGGTGAGGTGATTCGTGGCGAATCGGGTGCTCGAATAGGAACCACGTAAGGAACGCGAACGGGGGCGGCAACAGGTTGAGACACGGGTCTGACTGGAGCTGCGCCGACTGGAGCATAGAAGAAGACTTGGCTCGACTTGGAACTGGACTTCTTGGAGGACTTGGACTTCTTGGCGCGGCGACGTTGCTTGGTCACGTTCTCGTCAAGAGTTTGTTGAAGAGCCGATTGTTGGTAGTAGACCTTTTTGCGTTGACGGTCGGAGTTGTTGGCTTCAGAAGAATCAAATGCAGCGTAGGCATCTTCATCGGCTTCCTTTTGGAAAACTGCTCTCTTTTCTAGCAGATCAGACTGTCCAGTGGCAGTCGATCCATTGTTTTGAGCGCAAGTTCCACCAACAAGGAGGGTAAATAGAAAGGCAACAGAGAATTTCATCCTGATTGTTACTGCAGAAGGAGGTCAGAGATTGGTGAGATATGTCGTGTTGTGTTGTGTTGTGTTGAGTTGTGTGAGATGACTATTGAGTGAAACAATAGCATCATATGAGATGAGGAAGCTTCAGAGATACTTACATTTGTTCAGGTAGCAATTTTTGTTGAAAATGGGAGAAGATGGATTGGAAGATTTTGGGAGGCTAACAAATTTGGTGATCGTGATCTGTCTTCTGTGGCACGTGCTGCAAAATTTCAGTCCAAAAGCACTTAGGAGGGTTCTTGACGAGCATAGGTCGATTTGAAACTCAGGCGTTTATGCGATAAATATTGGTTAGGAAACTTCCAAATGGCACGTGTTCTGCACGTGATTCTTCGTTTCCATGCCAGATACCAATAAATGTATCAAAAATCAGTTCTCAACCAAATGACCGATGCAAGAGAAGTGCAAATCGCTTGGACTTGTCACGTGGGACTTTATTAAAATGTCTACCACGGTACCGTATCCCGTATCACTTCTTTTGCACAGAGTGATTGCGGTCATGGTCATCATCTCGACAAGACCGAAACATCACGACTGCTGATTTCTCATCGTTCCAAGAAGAAGGCGCAAAAATGAAAAGCTGAACAACAATACTGCCAAAAGAAGAATACACTTCTTCCTCATGGGATAAATCATATTTTTTAGTAGTCGAGGCGTTTCATGTTATATTGTTAGCTATCAAAAGTAGTATCATCATGCTTTGGTGAGTTGCTGAACCCTTCGTTCTGCACCCCAATCTTTGTAGAATCGTACTGCTTCTTGAATACGATAATCATGCTCCTCTTTATCCTTCATGCAACGAAGCAAAAAATCTGCATACCTCTCGTTTGACAAAGCAGCATGGTGCACATGACCAGTACGTGCTGCCAATACAATGGCGTCATTGTATAGGGTATTCGCTTTCTCATACTTTCCGTCCAACCTTGCCTTTTCAGCACACAGCAAATGATAACAGTGGCCAATATTGGGATTCCCTTTGGACACCCAGTTTCCCATCTTTTGCTTCAGTTTATTTGCCGTTCGCTTGGATTTCGAACTACCTGATGATGCAGTGGCATACAATGCGATGGCCCGTAGAAACGTCTCCGACATGATCTGCACGTTGCTAGGATTGGCTTTTTGGAATCCATCGCCCATGTTCAGAGCAATCGTCGATGCACTCTCATAGTCCCCGGAATAAATCGAGACATGCAATCCGATGTACTCGGTCATCAACTGCTCCGGTTTCCATCCCTCCTTCTGAAGAACCTCACTATTGGAAAAGACGGAACTATCAGGCTGACCCATCAGCTCTAGAATCAGTTCCCAGTGTTGTCGAACGGAAACCGAATACAAGCCAAGCTTGAGTTCCTCGCACTGGGCGGCGATCGTTCCACAAATTGATTCGATGGGTGCTAGTGGCTTTCCCATCATGAGTGGAAAGACAACACTGTGCATCATGAGCGAAAGCATGGCAGATTCCGTATTGCCGGATCGCATCCCGCTGATGTGACCTTCCCTCAATGCTGATCTACAGCTTTGCAGGGCCGATGACCAAGGAAGTACCAACGAATTGCTAATGGTAGTTGTGCTAGCCGCGGCGTAGTCATCTGGGACGACCTCTTGAAGCTCGTTCGCCATATTGGCAATTGTCGCGCCTTCCACAACATCCCCATTGACAATCATGAGACAGGTTCCAAGACCAACGAACGAGTAGCCAGACATTGGGTGTACACCATGTTTCAATGTCATTTGCACCATTTTGGTAATGCAACTGATGTGAAGGAGCATGTTCTTGCCAGCGTAGGAAGAAATCGCCAATCGAACTAACAGATCCATCGCAGCCTCGAGATTGGAATCGTCCACAGGTTGGAGATTGGCAAGTGCCCCTCTTGGCAATTTCTTTACCGTGCGAGCGACGCTGACTAGTTTGGCGGTCGCTTGGAACGGCAGTACTGCTTTGGTGCTGAAGAGTCGAATCTGGAAGGTCTCGAGTAGTATTCGGCGCAGCAAGCCCGTGCATCCTTTGTGGTCAATGTCCATGTGTGTCATCTTGTGGCTTTTGGCAATGTAGACTGGGAGCTTTTCAATAGCTGTGCAGTTTGGTTGTGCAAGAATTTCCTTCGAATACTTCTCCATTTCCTCGACCTTTCCAGTAGCCAGTTCCATCTCCATCCCGAGCGTGAAGAGCTGCAATGTTAGATCATGCTGCGCTGTCCATTTGTCATTTGGAAGATATGCGATACCCTTGGTGACATAAAGACTTGCACTGTGGAATGCCGAAATACTTCTCGCCTTCTCAGCAGCCCGAAGATTCAATTTTGCGTATTCGACTCTCCTTGCGTGTTGTCCCATGTTGACCAAGTCGCACACTTCAAATAACATTTCATCGAGCTCAGAATCTTCTAAGTGATGGAAGAGAGCATTTCCAACATCAAATTGAAACATTCGATCGGCGGCATTGCCAAGCATCAGCGCCGATTCGCGGACGTTCTCGTGAACCCAGCGGTACTGAGTAGGCTCGATTTGTTCGATGAAGCCACCTTTCTCCAGTCGCTGTAACAAATCAGCCAAGGTTTCGGCATCATGGTCTGCTTCTAATTGCGAAATAAGAATTTTCAGGCATTGGACTCTGATTGTAGACCCCAGACAAGCTGCATATTCCAGTGCTTGTTGGGCCCTGTAGGACAGCTTTTTCATCCTTGAATGGACAATGTTGACCACATTCTCGGTGGACATCGTCTCTCTTTCGACTTCCGCTTCGTCCCAAGACCATGTAAACGACCCAAGGTTGAATTTAATCAAACTCTCATCGACAAGCATCGTCATGAACTCAATGAGGAAGAAAGGATTCCCGTGTGTTCTTTTGAAGCAGATATCAGCAAGCGCTTCTGTCTTTTCCTTATCGTCCATGGACAAGAGAGTCATAATAATGCTATGGGCCCCATCCTGATCCAGGTTGCCAATTTCAATGTCCGAATGATTGAATCCATAGTACGCCGGTTTGCTCGCCAACTGCTCGAGCTTCTTAGGCAAAATATGATATTTCCCCACCACTGCATTGGATCGATAGCAACCAACGACCATAAGTTGATTCGTATTAAGCACGTCTGATACAAGGGAATCAATCAAGTTCAAAGACAATTGATCTGCCCAGTGGACATTGTCCAAGAAAAGCACAAGCGGGCTGTATAGTTTGTTCAGTTCTCTTGTTAGAACGCGAAGAGCATACTCCCAACGATACTGATCGGCTTCAAACCCATTACTTTCCCGTCTTCTTCGAGAACTGGGCTTTCGCAGTACCGAGCCCTTGGTTATTACTTTCAGTTTTGGTATCAACGTTGCAAGCAAGTGAATATCCGGTCCAAGTTTGGCAGTAAGTGCCTCCCCAAGGGTTTGCAATTTCCCGGAATTGTAGTGGGTTCGCACTGACAACCAGCCCTTTCTCTCAATGTCTCCAAGTATCTGACCAAAAACAGATGCAATTGCGGCGTATGGTCCATCCACGCTGGAAAATTTTCCTCTAGCACAGAATCCAGTTCCGCCCTCTTCGCACACTTTCAGCATGGATGATACAAGAGAGGATTTTCCCACTCCCTCGTATCCATTGACAAAGACCAGTTCCTTTCGCAAACTGGACATTGCAGTAGTATTCGTCAACCTATCGTAGCATTCCATAAGAAGCTTGGTTTCCTGCTCTCGCCCAATGAAACCAACATCATCATACTGTAACTTGTTAATCGTCAAACCATCCATTACCGATTGTACTTTGCCTTCTTGTTCTGAGGTTGCCATAATTTGTGCAGTAACTTGCAAAGCCTCGTCCACTTCATTTCTTCCATCGGATCGGCGTGCGAAATGGCCGCTGCCATCCTCAGATCTATTACTGTGAAAGCGTACATCGTCACAAGATTCAGCGCAATCAGTAGACAATAGATCGTTGTCTTGTACATCGTTCGTTGTCCTCATCGGTGATCTGGACGATCTTTTACTTGTTGACTTCGCTGACGATCGTTGAGACAAAAGATCATCATCTTGTTTCTTTGTCTTCATCGCCAGTGGTGATCTGGAGGATCTGTTAGTCCTCGACTTGTTCGCTGGAGAGGATGGTTCATTTCGAGACACTTCACCATCAAGTCCACAAGAGTTGGCTGATGGATCGATATTAGACGCATGTCGACTGATTCCTCGTGTTCTTCCTCGTGGACTTGGCGATTTGGAGGATCGTTGACTGTAGGATAGTGGGTGTTCACCGTTTTCATCGTCCCTCTGAGCCATTTGTAACATGGAGGGTCTGGGTGGTCTTGACGACAAGGAACAAGATCGTTCACTGATACACAGTCGGCTGTCTGTTAGACTTCCCTGCGGATTTGGGGAGCTGGAGGAACGGTCACCGATTGATATTTGGAAGTCAACCTCCGCGAAATTGGTTGAACACAGTGAGCTTCTCGAGGGTTCATGGGCAAAGGATATATGCCGGATTGCTGGTTCTTTCTCATTAAAGGCCAAATCAACAGATGTATCTTCTTGAAACGATGCAAAAGAACAGTCGCAAACAAGGTCTGAGACGATGGAATCGTTGCGCTGGAAGGCAGGGCTATCTACAACGACCACCAGCTCTTTAGATGCTGGGCCAGTTCCTTGGAAAGAATCTGAATCCTCCGCTGGAACTGTTGGTGTCAAATATTTCGACTCGTCAACATCGTTACTTAGTCGCCTTCTAAGCGGTGAAATAGCTATGGATAACATTGCTGGTGAAATGATTGCTTGAGAAGTGATTTGACACAACGTTTAATAAAAGTTGCGAGATTTGAAAAAAGTTGATGAATTTGCAAAACGCCTCTCTCGGCTATCACGGTATCACTGATGGATATGAGTCAGTTGCTCTGGCCCCCAATCCCCCAGCGCAAGCGCTGGTTTCCTCCAAGGGTGAGGTGGGACTAGGGTAATCTTAATAACTATCTATTCCTAGACTTCAAATTCACTCTGTCAAATACAGAGCAGTCTTTTCAAA